CCCGAGCTTCTCGTAATCGACGCGACAATTCAATTTCTGATATCCCGATAAATAAACACAATATTAGTCTCTGGACTTGAAAAGGGGCAATATCGTAAATAACTGACCGAAGGTATCGGACTCGAGCGCAAAGCAAGGCGGTGTCAAAACCACTGCCGAAAGGAATCGGAAACCTGAAACCAGGGCGGTCCGTCATTCCCTCATTTGCACCCACTCCAGGTCCCACGCGCAAACCGACAGATTCACCTTTCCCTCATCTATCCATCCTACGTGGTCCTCATCACCTCACACTCCCACACCTGGCCAGCATTTCCTCCTGCCCATCCCAACCACGCTTCACCCACCTAGGTCAAGCAAACTTCCCATCACACCGTACTGTACAGTAGTAAGTTTTCTTATGTCACTTCCACACTGCAGCACTTCCCCCTCCCGTCGCGTCCACTCCACTCCCCCACCACAACCTGCGTCTTCATCAGGCAGCTTTCTCTCACCCCCTCCCTTGCCTTGTGAAGCTCGACCGCTGACTTCAACGCTTGCTTCAGCTCTCTCCGGGCCCAAGGGTTAGCTGACATATATGATAATTTCTTTTTCACCTGTCCTTTTTCAGAGTAGTCAAAGAGTTTGTAGTGAAGTAACGGTGTCCTTAGCTCTCAAGTCGGGGCCTTCCTTGGTTCGCTTTCAACCGTGGTCGACACCCGCCGTTTGCAGACACCATTCTTTGGAGGAATCGTGGTTCCCGCCCCCCGCGACTCGGGACGTTGAGTTGACCTTGGTGCGGCCGACGCACAGGCGAGTGCAACGGTGCACTGAAGCTTAACAAGCTCGAAAAACGAGACACACCCGAAAGCACACGAGCTCCGACGACAATGGCGACTGCCACGGAGCCAATGTCCGTCCCACTCCCGCCAGACTCCTCCCGAACCGCGTCTCTCCCACCGCTCCCGCTCTCCAAATCGTGGAAAGACGCACCTTCCGCGAGAGATCAGCAGCAGCAGCTGGCCTCCTGCGTGTCAGCTTCCGATCAATCCGCGCGGAACTCAAGCCTCAGTCCTGCGCGCGCTCGAAAAGCCCCCCTGGATAACTCCCCGCACTCCGTACTTGACGCCGCCTTGTCCGCTTCCTCCTCCTCCTCCTCCCCAAGCTCCTCCTTCGTTCCGCGCGATAGCCGCGCGGGAGTTATTTCCAGCGCGCCAGCGAGCACGAGCGCGCCCGCCGCCGCTGATTCCGGCGCCGCGTCCGCGAATGTCTCGTCGGCCACCGCCTCACCGCGCGTTTCCGGCGTGCTCCGCGCGGCGGATTCGGGGAAAATCGACGCGGGCACTCCGCCGACTATGACGAGCTTCCGCAGCCTGACCAGTAGCAGCATGGGTTTCGACAGCAGCAGCGGACAAATCACGGACACCATGGTTGCGCAGATCGACGCGGATGCTGACGAGGCGCTCGGAAAATTCCTGGCCGCTCAATCGGCGCGCAGCGCCCGGAACTACGTCCGCCGCGCCGCTTCCGCCGCGAGCGCCGCGGCGAGTCCGCTTAGAGGGGATGGCGGAGACGTGGTTGCGCGGGTTTCGAGTCTTGAGAGGCAGCAGGTGAAGCGGTCGCCCGCGAGAAACGCGTTATCGGGGGAGATTTCCGCCGCGTGCGCCTCCCCGCAGCGGTTCCTGAGCCCCATGGCGTCGCCCGCGCGAGAAATGCAGCGTCGCAGCCGTCGCAGCATGGATTGCAGCGCCGTTGACATGCAGCCATTGGTGGAAGGGCTAGCTTCCGCCGATACGACCGTCGCGCGCAATGCCGCGGAAAGCATCCGCAAGGCGCTGAAGGAATCCGCGGAGAACTGCGCGCGGCTGGTTACGGCGGAAGGGGTGTCTCCGCTTGTGCGCGCGATTCTAGCAGAAGACAGGGAAACCGCGGAGCACGCGATGACCGCGCTATTGTTTCTGGCGGTGACGAAGCCCGCGGCAGTGGCGGAGATTACTTCCGCGGGAGGCCTGCGCAATGTTCTCCGCGTGTTAGCGCAAGAGCCTAGCGGAAGCGAGTTTCTCCGCAGCAACGCCGCCGCCGCGCTGTTTCCGCTAGCGAATTCCCCTGACGCGCAGAAAACTGCGCTGGCGGCGGGGGTTCTCCCTCCGCTGGTGGCGCTTCTGCGGGAGGCCTCGTGTACGCGCACGAAAAAGGACACGTGCCTCGCGCTTGTAACGCTGGGAAGCGAAACAAACGGTGCCCGCGAAATAGTTGCGACGGGCGTTGTTCCGCGATTGATCCAGCTGCTTGTGGAAGCGGAAGCGGGGGTGGAAGAATTGGCTGCTGCGGTGCTGGGGGTGGTTGCGCGGGTCGAGGAGGGTTGGAAGGCTATCCGCGCGGACGAGGATGGTTTATCCGCGTTAGTGGAGTGCTTAGAGGGGGGCGTGGGACGCGCTAAGGAACACTCGGCGTCTACTTTGCTGCAGGTTGTAAAATCGGATCCTGATTCGGTAGCGGTTCTGCTTGCGGAGGGGTGCTTGCCCGCGTTAGTGGCACTTTCGAATAGCAACAGGCAGTGTAGCGATGCGAAGGAGCTTCTGGAGCTGCTGCGTGCTGCGTGCAATAAACGAAGTGATTAAATGGGAGCGTGTGGGTTGTGTAAGAGGGACTCTAGCGCGTTTGGTTGCCGTACCCCTTATATGCACATGGCGTGGGGCTGTTTAGCAATCATGCCAAATACACATCACATCAGCCTTTGTTTCGCAGGACTAAAACCTCACCATCGGACCTGAGATGGGGAGCTGCTAGGGATGCGTCGGCTTCCCTGATCAAGTGAACCCTGCCCAAATACCATATTCCAGGCAGAGCAGGGAGGGCACAAGCTTCAGAGACTGTTGGCAGGTGGACTGGGCCCGGCACAGGAGGGGGTGTAGTAGGAGAGAGAGGGTGAAGCTGAGGAGGTAGAAGCTTCCATAGCTCGTAGACCTTGTGGGGTGGCACGGTAGCTTGGTGGTTGTAGGAAGGACTAGCAGGCACGAGGGAAGCAGGGAGGAGAGAGGATGGGATGGGAGGAAGGGAAGGAATGGGGGGAGCACGGAGGCGAGGGGAGGAGCGTGGATGAAGGGAAGAAAAGGGGGGGGAGGAAGGAGAGGAGGGAAGTAGAAGAGAGGAGAGGGGATATATCCGGCATGGAGGCAAAAGGCAAGACAGACAACAGCGAGTTGTGCCTTGGTTTTTCTGAAAAATTCTGCTGCACAGAATTCCTACCCCGTGTTGGTTACCCCTTGGGCCCGCTGCACTTGTCATGCTGCACTGCACCATGTAGAACCGCATGGTACAGCGTGTAGGGTCACCTCACTGCTACCAAGCCTGTGCTTTCCACCAGGCCGGCACTAGAGTGTGGGTTAAGACAGGCAGGCAGGCAGGCAGGCAGGCAGGCAGGCAGGCAGGCAGGCAGGCAGGCAGGCAGGCAGGCAGGCAGGCAGGCAGGCAGGCAGGCAGGCAGGCAGGCGGGCGGGCAGGCAGGCAGGCAGGCAGGCAGGCAGGCAGGCAGGCAGGCGGGCAGGCAAGCAGGCAGGCAGGCAGGCAGGCAGGCAGGTGGGCGAATGGGCAGGCAGTCAGGCACGCAGGCAGACAATCGGGCATGGGAGAAAGAAGACGAGGAATGCTAAGGGTGTGTGGCCGATGCACAAGCAAGCTGGTGTATCCCTTGTAATGCCATGGATGGGTAACGGGTTGTCTGTCCTGGGGTTGGCACTTGGTAACGTTTTCAGCTCCGGTACATTGCTGGAGTTCCCCTTTTTCCTGCAGTCTATGGGTGTTTCTGTGGTAATTTACTGGTACTGCTATTTCCTGTTGAAGCTTGATTTGCTGAGATCTTTTCTCTGCACCCAATACCGTACACTGCTGATGTGGCAGAAGGGTCTGTAATACCTGTGCAAGAGAATGTGTGTTTTGGTTGACATACCGTAGGTGGTGCGCTTGTGGTGGGTGCTTGTGGGGGGCATACCGGTAAGAGTGCTGCGCTTGTGCTGCTTCAGCCAGGTTTGTTAGCAGTTATGTCTAAAATGATTTGACTGTTAGCTGTTGAGGTAGCTTGAGCTTTCCTTTCTAGCTCAACAATTTTAATTACAAATGTTAAAGCCCGAGTCTAGAATGGCGAGGGTTCAAGTTCAAGATTCTTGAACATTGCCATTCTAGACTCGGGCTTTAACTGTACATTACTGGTACTGTAGTTGTAGGTCACTGTGCCTTCCTTTTTCTGATCCACCTTGCGCTAAACAGTGGGCTAAACCCTTTCAACGCCTTCCCATCCATCCTGTCATGGAAGCATGTTGTTACACTGCAACAACCCCGGTGTGCAATCTCAGCAATTTAGCAGGGTACACAGTACCGGTCATCCACAATCATTTGTGATTAATATTTCCGAGTGTTCACGGTACCGTATCACTACACTGGTTTGTGCTGTACTCGAGTGTTCATTGTGAATTCAATGGGAAAAACTGACAGCTGCAGAATCCAAGCAACCATGCCCCAATTTACTGCCTCCCTGTAATAGCCCACAGAGCGAGGCGTGAGCTTTCGATGCGTTCCCTTGCATGGCAGGTTCCCTCTCCTATGCACTGGGTTACAGAGGGATTTGGTAACCAGGCGAGAAGAGACCAAGGTGCAACAGTGTCAGGACGAATTGATCAGGGTTGTCACCCCCGCCAGGGGTGAGCAGGGTGAGCAGGGGTGAGCGGGTGAGCAGGGGTGAGCGGGTGAGCAGGGGTGAGTGAGTCGCGTCGCATGGGTTAGGTCAACTGAAAGCCGCCTTGAGTGGAGCAGCGGCGAGCAGTGGCGAGCAGTGGCGAGCAGTGGGGAGCAGTAGGTCACTACGGGACTGTGGGACTGCCATGCTTTCAAGACAGCTTGGACTTGTGAGACCTGCGTGAGTTAGTGGATTAGCATCGGAAGCTCCTATGCGGAGTGGAGTGGAGTGGAGTGGAGTGGAGTGGAGTGGAGTGGAGTGAAGTGCAGTCAGTCAGTCGTGGTGTGGCGAGTCAGTAGCGGCGGTTGGACTGAGAGTGAGAGTAAGAGAGGGAGTGAGAGAGAGGGGAGGAGTGCAGGAAACGAACATCCTCATCAGTGAGAAGATCGTCCCCTAGCAAGGAGGTGGCATCGTGTTGGGTGTAACTCAACGCTCTCTGCCACTGCTCCACACACAGACTTGGACTGTCCGACACTTCTCCACCTGCTCCTACCACTCCTGGTGCTCTTGCTCCTCCTGCTCCTGCTGCTGCCCCTCCTCCGCCTCCTGCTGTTGCTGCTGGTGGTGTATCACCATCAAAGAAGAGTGGCGCCATAGAAAGAGCAGCCGACCTTGCAGGGAGAGCAGGAGTATCACCAGCAAAGAAGCCCGGCGCGGTCCAAAAGGCAGAATCAGCATCATTGTCGTATTCCCCAGCACCAGCGGGAGCCGCAGCACCACCAACAGCAGCAGGAGGGGTAGCGTATGGTGATGCTGACCCAGCGGTAGCAGCAGCTGTAGCGGCAGAAGCTGTAGCAGCAGCTGTAGCGGCAGAAGCTGTAGCAGCAGCTGTAGCGGCAGAAGCTGTAGCAGCAGCTGTAGCGGCAGATGTACCAGCAACAGCAGTAACAGCAGCAAAGGGATGGACTGGTGGTGCTGGCTTTTCCGGAGTGACCTCCATAGCAAGAGCGCTTGAAAGTGCATCAGCAGCCGAGTTAAAGCCCGAAATGGAATCCATAAAGTCACTCGAAAAGCAGTCATTCGAGAAGCAATCATTTGAGAAGCTATCCGGGATGCGATCTTGTGGCGGCGTGTGCCTTGACGTCTCACCCTGTTCTCCGCGCCTGCTGCTCTCCAGATGTGTTTTCGCAGCGAGGTGCATGTGATAATCCCCTTCGTGTGCTCCCCCCTTCCCTCCCATGTGACTGCTACCCTGCATGGGAACGCCATTCCCCAGAAGGCTACCACTCCCCATGTGACTGTTACTTGCAGCAACCATGTGACTGCCAGTGCCCCTCCCGCTGCCGCTGCCGCTGCCGCTGCCGCTGCCGCTGCCGCTGCCGCTGCCGCTGCCGATGCCGCTCCCACTCCCCCTGCCGCTACCACTACCACTGCCAACCTCTGCCTGCATTCTCGGCATCAAGAACCTCTGGTTCAGCGATTCAAACCCCTGTTCGTCCGCACAGCCCCCCATCCTGCCTCGCCCAACCTCTCCAGCCAACACAGGTGGTGGAAAGGCACTAGACCCACAGCTGGTGCTGCTGGGACTGCTGCTGCCGTGGTAAAAAAACTCATCCCCCCTCCCTCCGCTGCTGCCGCAGTTTCCACCCTCCTCCTCTTCCTCCTCCTCCTCCTCCTCCACCTCCTCCTCCCGCCCCCTCTCCTCCTCCTCCCTCTTCTTCTCCTCCTTCTTGATGTAAATGTCCTGGTCCCCATCCTCTCCCCTCCTGCCGTCATCATCCCCACTGCTGTACGAGTGTGGCCCATCTCCTCTGTTTTGCCACTGCTGCTGATCCCCCTCCTGCTGCTGCTGCTGCCAATCCGCCTCGCGTGTGAAAAAAGAGAAGGGAAGAGCAGAGAAGGTCTGCTGCGAGGGGATTGGGACGCTCGCCAGAAGCACCTCTTCCCAGGGGTTGAAAGGGGTGGGGACTGGTGGAGGGGGGTGGGAGTTGGAGGGAAGGATGGGATGGGAGAATGAGAAGCGAGATGAGAGGATAAAGGAGAGGCAGTAAAATTATGTTTAAGGGCATTAGGTAAACAAAAACGGGCACACATGCAAGCACACGCGCACACACTTGGATGCACAGACTAGGATTGAGTATAATACTTATGACGACTTGCGGAGCATAAACAACAGCTGAGATACCTGGAAACAAAAAACCTGAGAATACCTGAAAACACCTGAAAACAATAGAAACCAGAAGGAAGAAGCACCTGATGCAGCAGAATGGCTGGAGTGGGCACATGCAGGGGAGAGCGGTGGTTGCGATTCCATAAGCAGCAACCACGGAGTGAGGATGGAGGGCGGTTGGCGTGAGGTGAGCAAGGGGGGCGGACGAGTGAGGGGAGATGTGGTGAGGCGAGGAGGAGGGGTGGAGGAGGAGGACGAAGGGGGAGGGCCTTTTGGTGCGAATGGGGATGGTGGGTCGAGCATTTTTGGAGGGGGGAGAGGGGAAGGCGGGGCGAGCTTGGAGGGGAGGGCGTGGGTTGAAGCCTTCAGGGCCTGAGGGGAAAGGGGAAGGGGGAGGGGAAACGTGGAAAAAACGAAGGGGGAAGGGGGAAGCGAGAAGGGGGAAGGGGGAAAAAGGAAGGGAAAGGAGAAGGGAAGAGGTTGAAGGGGGAAGGGTCGGGGAAGGTGAAACGGTGAAGGAGGACGGGAGAAGGAAGATGAGGGGAGGATATGTGGAAGGGAGATGAGGAGAAGAAAGGGAAAAAAGTAGGTTCTTTACGAGGAGAGAATCCGCATCTGGAAACAATGACACGAGGAGCCCTGAGCCTCAGCCCGAGTCAATTCCACGAGGTAGAAAGCCCTTCCCTCCCTCGGAACCAGACAATTCCTTCCTCACTGTCCTCCGCTTATGAGCCTCACGCTAGCGCCCTACTCCCAGCTGCCACCCTTCAGACGATACCCCAACCGCCTCTTCCCCTTCCCCTCCCCGCCCTCCCCCTCCCATTCCCCTTTCCCATATGACCTCCGGTTGGAGCCCCACTCACAGCAGCAGGCGACTTGAGGGAGGAAGGAGGAGGAAGGGGCATGGCGAGTGATAGCTGAGCGTCCATGAGAGCAGTGGAACGGAGCGAGGCAGAGAGCTCTGCCTCCTGTGCTGATAGCAGCGACTGGTGGCATGGGATGGGGGGAATGCGAGAAGTGGGGGTAGTGGGGCCAGGGGGGAGGAGGGGAGGGCGAGGTAGGAGGGTTGAAGAGGTTGGGAAGGGGTAGACGGGAGGAAAGGGGGGGGGAACGGGCAGCACAAATACTAGCTGAGCGTCCATGTGGGCAGTGGAACGGAGAGAGGCAGAAAGCTCTGCCTCTTGTGCTGATACCAGCGACTGGGAGGTATTGTGGGGGGTAGTGGGGGCAGGGGAGAGGGGGAAGGGGCACGGCGAGTGATAGCTGAGCGTTCATGTGGGCAGTGGAGTAGAGAGAGGCGGAGAGCTCTGCCTCTGTGCTGATAGCAGCGACTGGTGGCATGGGATGGGGGGGATGCGGGGAAGTGGGTGACGGGGAAGGACAGGACAAACGAGGAATAGGGGAGGAGGGGGCAAGGAGAAGGTAACGCAGGGGAGAGAAGAAGAGAGGAGAGGAGAGGAGAGAAGAGGAGAGAAGAGGAGAGGAGAGAAGAGGAGAGAAGAGGAGGCAAATCTGAAAAAAAAAAAAAAAAAAAACGGATAAAGGGGGTGGGAGGGGTGGGAGGGAGCGGCAGGGAAAAAGCAGTCAGAAAAGGAGGATAAGGGGTCCGCTGCAAAGTCTGGGGTGGCCTTGAGTACCCGGTGGAAAATCTGCTTCTCCGTGTCTGGTGGTGGGGGGAGGGAGGGGCAGGCAGAGGAAGAGCAGTCGTTACAGGGGAATAGGGGGTCCGCTGCAAAGTCAGGACTCGCCTTGAGCACCTGGTGGAAGATCTGCTTCTCCGTGTCTGGTGGTGGGGGGGAGGGGGAGATGGCAGAAAGTAGTGAGTGGGGAGGGGAGATGAGTGGGGAGGGCCAGGGGTCCGGTGCAAAGTCGGGATTCGCCTTGAGCACCTGATGGAAGATCTGCTTCTCCGTGTCTGGTTGGGGAGAACGATGGGGGGAGGAGGGAGGAGGGGAGTTGGGAGGGGTGGAAGGGAGGGAGAGGGAAATAGTACAGGGGGATAAGGGATCCGCTGCAAAGTCCGGGGTGGCCTTGAGCACCTGGTGGAAGATCTGCTTCTCCGTGTCTGGTGGGAGAAGGCGGGAGAGGGGATGGGGGGTAACGAGTGAGATAAGGGGTCCGCTGCAAAGGCTGGGGTGGAAGATCTGCTTCTCCATGTCTGGTGGGGAGGGATAGGGGGGAAGGGGGGAGGAGGACGGGAATGGGGGAGGGAGTGAGGTAGAGCAGTCAGTACAGGGGAATAGAGGGTCCGCAGAGAAGTCACTCACCTCCCCAGAAGGGCGGGGTGCCGCTGAGCAGGATGAAGAGAATGACTCCGCAGCTCCACACGTCACACGCCTTGTCATACTTGTGCCATCGATCTTATCCATCCACCCTTAAAGCCGGCGGCCCAAATTGTTCATGCTTTTAAAAGTTGACCAGAGGGAGTTTTTCTGGTGTGGGCTTTGGCGAGAGTTTCCGATTTCGTCTAGGTTCGTTTTTTTCGCGAGACCCAGCCAACCCTCGGTTTTCCCCCTGGTGAGTGAATCTGTCTTCGAAAGTCCCAAATTGCAAGTGCGTGACTTTCAAAAGCTTGGACACTCAACTTCGTCAAGTTTTAAAAACTTGACCCTCGCGGCCCGCAATTTGGGACGCGGGCTTTAAGCAACTTGAAGACCATGATCTTTCCTCCCCCATCCCCCACTCCCCCCAACAAGCAAGCAACTTGAAGACCATGATCTTTCCTCCCCCATCCCCCACTCCCCCCAACAAGCAAGCAACTTGAAGACCATGATTGCTCCTTGAAGATAGATAAGATTGATGGCACTCGATCTACTCGATCTTGAAGACACACTGCACGAAGCGGAGAAAAGGCTGGCGCTTGGGCGGCTCATGCTCCGGGAACGAATCTACAAACGAGGGGGGAAAGGAGGAGGAAAGAGAGGAAGGAAACAAACAAACATACATACAACCAAACAAACCCTAAGTCAGCGCACCTGGAAGGACTGCTGCAGCTGAGCATGCTGATGCTCCACCGCTTCTAGCCTCCCCACATGCGACTCACAATGTCACCTGACAGAACTCAAGAGATTCTTGACCACGTAAAGTCTTGGCAGAGAACCTTAACGAGTGAACAGCACACCTGGAAGGATTGCTCCAGCTGAACATGCTGATGCTCCACCGCTTCTAGCCTCCCCACATGCGACTCACCCACCCTCCCTCCTCCTGACCCCCCTTCCGCTGCTGCTGCTGCGGCTGCTGCTCCTGCCTCTGCTGCTGCTGGCGTTCCCCCCTGTCCTGATGAATCTGCTCCTCCTGCTCCTGCAGTGGGCGCTTCTGGAGGGGGGAAGAAGAAGTGCGAGGGGCCTGCTTCTTGTACTGAGTCGGCCTGTAACGAGACGGAGGGTTGCCGAGAGAATATAGAGGAAAGGGGATGAGGAGGAATATGCAGCGGAGTAAGGGGGGAGAGGAGGAGGTGAGCGAGGGAGAAAAAGGGTGCAAAACAAGGGAGAGCTAGCGCACGGAAGAGCAAAAGCATGGGAGAACAAGAAAGGTGGAGAGAGGGCGTTTCAAGAGCAGGGGAGAAAGGGGGGAGGTGAAACACACGGCAACCTTCCAGAGAAACCACTCTTTAGTGGACTCAGAAAAGGCCAGCTTTCAAGGTAGATTAATCGTCCATCCATCCATGATCCATCCCTTACCAGTTGCTGCAATGCGGGTTGCAGTGCTGCCAAGGCCGCGATGTGGTTCCCAATAACCTCTGAACGGATCAACAACAGCTCACTACCATTGCCAGTGCCACCACCACCACCACCACCACTGCCACCACCATCTATGCCCCCTCCTCCTCCTTCTCCTCCTCCACCTCCCTCTCCTGCCACTCCTGCTGCCGGCCCTGATTCTCCTGAACCCGCCTTGCCATTCCCTAGTTCCATAGCACCATCTCCTCCGTCCTCATCATCACCACCACTCACGCCACCCCCATCATCAGCACCAGCACCATCGCACACACGGCTGGTGTCGCAGGGTTCCTGGCCGGACTCCCTGCCTGCTTCACTGCTTCCTTGCTGCTCCTGCCCTGTGGCTCTGGAAACGTGGAGGAGAGAGGGGCATGGAGGGAGACATTTGAGTCGACTCAGGCGTTCAGTTTTCTCAGGGGAAAACAAATTTTGCTTCCCGGCTGCTGTTGCCCGGTAGCAAAGGAAACGTGCAGGGGAAGGGGGGATGAAGCAGGGGTGGGAACGAGGAAGGGTGCGAGGAGAGGAAAGTGGAGCAGGGGGGCGAAGGGAAGTGAGTGAGTGGGGGGGTGGGGGAGAGGGGGAGAGGAGGAGAAGGGAAGAAGGGGAGAGTGGGCAAAAGGGAGAAGGAGAGAGGAGGGGAGAGGGAGATAATCGGAGAAGGGGATAGGGGGAGAGGGGGAGAGTGGGAGAGTGGGAGAAGGGGAGGTGTGATGCGTAAACTGATAGGTGTGAGCATAGTTATAGTTATGATGGGGTGATGGCGATGACAACAGCACAGGGGCACAGCTGCAGAGCAACAGAGCAGTAGCGGCACTGATAGCCCGCAGTGGGTGTGCTGGTGATAGTTGCTCTTTTATGGCGGCAGTAGAGGTGGTGGTGGTGGTGGTGGTGGTGGTGGTGGTGGTGGCAGCAACAGCATCAGCAAAGACAGAAGCAGACACAACAGAAAACTTGCAAAAGGGTAATAGTCAAACATGGCAGTACATCACATGCACATGCACATCACATGCACATGCACATCACATGCACATGCACATCACATGCACATGCACATCACATGCACATGCACATCACATGTACGTATGAGTGTAGGAGGTGAAAGGATGAAGAGATGTCGAATCACCTGGAGTTCCGGGCGAAGAATCGGCCAGTCAGATCCGCTAGCTTAGGGACATCCGTCTCTGCAGCACAGCACAGCACCGCACAGCACAGAACAGCACCGCACAACACCGCACACAGCACAGCACAGCACAGCACAGCACAGCACAGCACAGCAGAGGCAAACACACACATAGAGATGTTGGCAGACGAAAACGTTTTTCGAATTCCTCTAGTTGTCACTGCATAGTCACACGGGACAAGATGCTAGCAAGGGAGGGAGTAGTATAGACAGGGAAAAAGGGAAGGACGAAGTTGAGGGAGAGGGTTGGTGGGTGGGGTGGGGAATACACAAGAACAATGGAACGAGCGCAGGGAACAGAACACACGAGTGAGGGCAAGAAGCACTGACCCAAGCTTGCTGAAAGCTGTTGCAGCTGCCTGTTCACTGCCTTGACACCCTCTACCACAGGTTCTGCTGCTGCTGCTACTGGCACCTGTCGTGGTAGATAGGGTGTGAGAGGGCGAGGGGGAAGCAGTCAGTAGAGAGAGGGAGAAGCACAGACACAGCGCACTGCGCCGCCGCACAGCACCGCACCGCACTGCACTGCAATGCACCGCACAGCAGTGTTTTGAGTACAGCGCAAGCTGTTGGCGTATGGCAAGGCGAGCTCTCAAAAGCCTGTCCCTGATTTGACTCGAACGAGCTTAAGGTTGACGAACGTGGAAATCATCTGCATGCATGCAAAAGACCCCGGGTGCAACAAGTTCGTACATTGCACAGCTCCATGCTCGTTCGGCGTGCTCTTGCATTGCACAGTCGGCTGAAAAGGTTAATCCGCTCACTCTTGAGTTGACTGAACAGGTTTTCCATGTGGCGAGCTCTTGCATTGCGTGTGCCGCGCTCTTGCCTTGCGTGTGCCGCGCTCTTGCCTTGCGTGTGGCGGCGTTCTCTAACATTGCGCAGCTCCAGGCTTCGGACGGTTCGTTCCAGCTCCTGCTGCCTCGCATGCAGCCTTTGAGGCGCCTAAAAAAATGTTCAAGGTGGTGTGTGCCAATGTGTGCCAGTGTGCACTTACATTGCGCAGCTCCAGGCTTCAAATGGTTCGCTCCAGCTGCGCTGCCTGTTCCATCTGCCACCTCATGTAACCTGCTGCAGCTCCTGCTGCCTGTCTCGCATGCAGCGTTTTAGGCGCCTAAAAAAATCTTCAGGGTAGTATGTGACTGTGGGGAGCTCTTACATTGCGCAGCTCGAGGCTTCGGATGGTTCGCTCCAGCTGCGCTGCCTGTTCCATCTGCCACGCGTGCGACTGCTGCAGCTCCTGCTGCCTCGCTTGCAGCTGGTCTGAACGCCGCGCCAGGCTGGCCTGTGTTGTGCACGAAACGTGACGTTTACATACCGATACATGCAGGCATGCATGCATGCACACATGTGTGTGCGTGGGTACCCACACAGTCACACATGCATGCATGCACATGTAGGTAGGCACGCGCGCGCGCGCACACACACACACAGACACACACGTACGCACACACGAATTAGCACATGTACAGGAGGAAATGCATGCAGACAAGTGTACGGGGAGGAATGGTGAGCACAAACACCAGCACAGATACGTCAGGGAAGCCGCAAGAATCACACACAAGAGCCCAGAGCGTGCATGGGAGAGGAGTAAAGTGAGAAGGAGAACGAAGAAGAAAGGAAGTGTAGAAAGAAAGGTTTGCAGACAGGTGGCTTATCAGGCAACGAGGAGAAGAGGGAGGGAAACCACCGGGCCGTGAGGATGCACCAAGGACGTAACAAGGACGCACCAATCTTGTGTGTTGCGCAGCCACCAGTTCAGATCTGGTGCCGATATGGCGATACACAGGTGCCACGTGGCCCCCATTGCTGCCGCCCTTCCTTGCAAGAAACACAGTCAGCGCGTGCGCTGACAGATAGAACAAGAGCTCCACCATCCTGCCACGTGTCAAGACATGAGTGGTTGATTGCACTTAATCACTAGGGGATAAGTTGTGGTTGTACTGGCATACGTAGGCTCATTGAACTCTATTGATCAATGCATTGCATGGGACGCATAGGATTAAGTCCCAGAGTGTATAAGAGCCAGAGTGGCGTGAATATGGCTGCAGCAGAACAGTATACGCGTTATGGGCTTGGTCAAATGTCATCACTTGGTCACATGCATCACTTACCATGAGAATACTCCGATATGATCACTTGAGAAGACAGTCAGATGACATGAATTGACACATGACTATGATTTGGTCCATAGCGAGGCATACGAGTGAGAGGAGAGGACAGGCATATGCAATACCAGGGGAATTGCATGCCATTACCATTGCCATTGCCATTGCCATTGCCATTGCCATTGCCATTGTCATTGCCATTGTCATTGTCAATCATCGTCTCACCTGGGACCCGTGGCAGCAATGATGGTGGTGCTGCGCGCGCTGTGGGGAGGGACGCGGCCATCCTTCTCGAGCTGCTTCAGGACCTCTATCACCGCCTGAACCACCAACCAATCACAGCCCGGCAAAGGCAGGAAATAAGAAATCCGGGTTAAAAAAAAACAAGAAATGCAAAAAAAGCTTGAATTGAGCCTGTCTTGCAATGGCCAGCTTCGTTTCTCGTAACTATGTACAAAGGTCACGACAGCTTGAATGGATGAAGTTCTGGATGTACCTTGCGCATTTGCGTAAGATTTTTCTTGACGAGCGGCAACTCCCAATCGATTTCGCTTGCCTGAAAGCACCCGATTCAAACCGCACGACAGCGAAACAAATCAACGGCTGAGATTGGCAACTGAGAACAAACACACGAAAAAAAAAAACACTGAGACTCGTTAGTGCGGAGAATGAGATTGCAATATTTCGTAGACGAGGAGAGGAAGCCTCGAGCGCGGACGCATACATCTAGTATTTTCGTGAGAAGGAAGTGTAGGATCCCATTGCACGCGTTAAGGTTGGTGACTTCGAACATTCCGGGAGCCAGGCGGATACTAGTAGCGACTGGGTCATTGTGAAACCGCAATATCTCCAAGTTTCCAAAAACCGCGTCCTCCATACAGCGCACGCTGTGATTTTGATCTAGGTGCTGCCTCTCCATAGCGGCTCGACGGGGAATGCGACCGAACGAGACGTCACGCTGCAGAATGCACCAACATCCACCTGATCAGCAGCTGATAGCGCAACGGAATATCAGAAACCAGCTCACATACGAAGCAATGAAGTGCCTTGGGTCCTTTGGATTTGCCCGACGCGACACTTGGAGCTGAGTGTCCTAGGGAATCGCATTTCTTGAGGGATCTGGAGTCTGACTCGTGCTTCCATCGCGCGGGATCGCCTGTGGAGTGGATGTTTGGCGGGACGGGACAAGTCTGAAGGGAGAAGTTGAGGCGAGGAAGAATCGAGGGGAGCTTGACGAAGGCCTTGGGGACGATGCGGAGAATATAGAAGCCGTGGATTGGCTGGAGAGCTCGCGAAAATGAATTTCGCGCATCTAATATCGAGGTGTAACCAATACAGTCTCGCCATGGCTGAAACAAGTTAATATAGTATTGAAGAAAACATGAATTAACCACTATTTATGCAGTTGTGATTATGTGGCACCTTCTTTTAGAAATAGCACCGAGGTTTCATGAAAGGGCAACATGTGAGCTGGAACCCCAAGGATACTGTATCTCGAACATTTATTACTATTATATATCGCTGAGTTCTCTGATTGATCAGTCAAGTGTTGATCACACCAAAGCTCACTGTAACGGTCCACATACTTTTTACAGGCGAAGCGAACGGTCCACTACGTATATTTCATTCAGTTTTCTAAAAAAACGGTAGCTTCTCCCTCGCGTCGCGAATTTGGAACTGAAAGCGGTCCGGTCAAATTACTGGCCAGCCACGCCCACGCGCCCTGGTTCCATGTGTATGGTTGGGCTATGGCGATAAAACATGGGCCCAGATCATCGTATGCGTTTCTGTTACTCCACATCAGGCGTCGCATGACATGGCAGGGCGGTACTGAGCGAGCCTTGAAGCACCGTGCGACAGCTACATCTGTCGTCGAAATCTCTCTTAGCGCGCTCAAAAGCACACAAATCCCCACATTTGCCCATTCCATTTCAATTATCAGTAGCAGGCCCTCAGATTGGTTTTGGGCTAGTCTGAAAATTCAGAGTTGGTACATAAGAGTTTTTCCTGCAGAAATACCACTACACACTAGAAAAAATCGCAATTTTCCTGGTTTTCTAAAAAAAAGGCTGAATTTTCAGAGTTCACTTCGAAAAAAGGCTGAAATATCAGAGTTTTTTAGGCAAATCAGAGAAATTTCTCTGACTTCTGGGGGCCTGATCAGTAGCCATTTGAACAGCTTCACATCAACGTTAACTTCACATAAACTAGCCAGCAACCCTCCACCAGCAACCCTCCACCAGCATTGGCTCGCGAGCTGACAATGGCCGATACCGAGCAGGGATTTTCAGCTCCTCTCCACAAATATGTCCTTAGTCCAGTCGAGGAGGAAGATCGTGCGACTCTCCGCAGCCGCTGGCTTTTATCTCTCTGTCTCTCAACTCCCGACCATCGCCTCGCCTCCTCGACACCTCCTCCTCCCAATCGCTTTTCCGCTGCGACGACCACCGAGTCGGGAAGCGACACTCCCCCCGCAGGTCGGAATCGCGCGGAGAACATCGGAGACCAGTCGCCCATCTGCCCGAAGCGACTGTCGTTCTCAATGCCGGGGGAGCCGCCTTCTCCTAGAGCCCTCGACTGGGGCACCCGAATGTTCTCGTCAGCCTCGGTGGCAGACTTGTTGCCGAACCTCCTCCACCAGCGAATGCCGCAGGTTCGGTTCATGGTTGCGCTAATGGGCCTCGTCGTCACAGCGTCGTTCCTCTTCTCTGACGGAGTCGCCAGGGGAAATGCGACGCTGAGCGGATGGTGGCCGACTGATGCGACGTCGCCGGCCGTCGCACGCTTGCGAGGTGGTAACCCGGTGGACAGTCGTCGCAACGGTGGAGTTAACGGCAAGTGGGGATCAGTTGCGCAGCGGGAGCAGCAGAGGCGGCGGCTGTGGTGGGCGGACCGGGAGGGCGAGGCGGCTGAATCGAACGCCATGGATCCTGCGGTAAGTTATCTACAAAGCACCCGCCTCAAATAAACATGGCGCCAGTGCGACTCGCCAGCGTGTATACAGAGATCGGCCAGCCGAGAGTGCAGCTGCATTCTGGATAAAAAAATCGCTTACGCACGTGTGTCTGTGAAAGCCGTGCCCCGACTCTAATCACAGCAGAACAAGACGGAGCATTCCATATCGTGCTGTCAGGTTGGATGCAGGCGAATCTCGCCGACTCCTGGTGATGGACCCCCCTGTCTCCTCCTTCGTGCCTCACGCATTACGGGTCAAGCCCGACCCGGTATGTCATGCCGTGTGTGTGTTTACTTCTCCTTCTGCTTCTTCTGCTTGTCCTGTTCGTCTGATCTCGGCAGGAGCTGCGAGTGCGCGAGGAGATGGTCTCTCTGCAGTGGCTCAAGTTTCGATCGGGTCAGCTGCAGCTGCACGTGCACTCCAGTAACGAGGTGAGCGCACGCCCTTCCCCCGTTACAATCACCTCCTGTAACGTAGCGTGGATTTATATAGACCACGCGCCTCTTGAAAAGGCTCTTGAGACCGTCAGTGTTCCACCACGCATCCGCTGGTTCACCAATCAGCAAACATCTTGGCGAATGGTTCTTTTGTTTAATTATTCGTTGCACGCCGGCTCTAAACAAATAGCAGCTTGTGAATTACAACTAAACAAATGGAGCAGCCGACTGAGCAGCAGCCTAGCCGACTGAGCAGCAGCCTAGCCGACTGAGCAGCAGCCTAGCCGGCTGTCTTACTGGCATTCTGACCGGCAGTCTAACCGGCATTCTGGGCCCTGTCTCTGCAGGTCGACGTCAGCTTCTGGGGTGACGTGTTCCGCACCGCATTCTCGGAGCTTTCTGGGCCGCACGATGCGGCGCGCAGGGCGGCGATTCGGCGGATCGCCCGGCTGTCGACTCAGGCGTACGACGTGGATCTGTCCGCCACATTCCCCGTACGCGCGTTACACTCCACAACCTCTCATTACCCCCAATACGCCTTCTTCTCTTCCACTTCGTTCCGGACCATGTCCCTGTCTTGCTCGTCCATCCCTAGACTATCTCGCAAACTCTGGCCGTGCCTTTCTCTAATTGGTTCGCAGAGTCAGCTGCTTCGTAGACTGCATATCAGAGTTGCCCTACCATACCTGGTCACCCCATCCCCTCCCTCGTGCCTGCCTGCCAGGTGTTTCGCCCGAAATGGAGGTGGCAGAGCAAGGCGAGCACCCAGCAGCAACAGCAGCAGCCACAGCATTCGCAGCAGGCACAGCGAGTCAAAGCTAATAAGCAGAACCCGTCGCACACGAGCCGCAAGCCCGGGCAGGTCGGGAAAAGGCACCAGGTGAAGGCGTCAGGGATTCAGGGCCGTCCGAGGCACGACTAGTGCCTTGGGTGGTTCAGGCTCGGATTGAGAATTTCCCAGGTCTTCGATTGCGACAGGCGCAGAAATGTGAAACTAACGGCCCTCCTCTCAGCAGCTGTGGCTGCACTACTGACAGCAAGGCGCTTCTCTCGAGGGCCTACTCTCTCTCCCTCTCCCTCTCTCTCTCGCTCTCTGCCTCTCCCGCTCTCCCTCTCTCTCTCTGCATCTCCCCCTCTCCCTCTCTCCCTCTCTCTCTGCATCTCCCTCTCTCCCCCTCTCCCTCTCTCTGCATCTCCCCTCTCCCTCTCTCTGCATCTCCACTCTCCCTCTCTCTCTCTGCATCTCCCCCCCTCCCTCTCTCTCTGCATCTCCCCCTCTCCCTCTCTCTCTGCATCTTCCCCTCTCCCTCTCTCTCTGCATCTTCCCCTCTCCCTCTCTGTCTGCATCTTCCCCTCTCCCTCTCTCTCTGCATCTCCCCTCTCCCTCTCTCTGCATCTCCACTCTCCCTCTCTCTCTCTGCATCTCCCCCCCTCCCTCTCTCTCTGCATCTCCCCCTCTCCCTCTCTCTCTGCATCTTCCCCTCTCCCTCTCTCTCTGCATCTTCCCCTCTCCCTCTCTCTCTGCATCTTCCCCTCTCCCTCTCTCTCTGCATCTTCCCCTCTCCCTCTCTCTCTGCATCTCCCCCTCTCCCTCTCTCTCTGCATCTCCCCCTCTCCCTCTCTCTCTGCATCTTCCCCTCTCCCTCTCTCTCTGCTTCTCCCTCCAGATCTCTCCAGATCATAGTTGGTGAGGATTGTATTATTTCATAGGCTCGGTCCCTTTCTTGACTCGAGGACCAGTTTGATTTGTGTTGTTTCATGCATTCTTCAGTCAGTTTCGCCATCATTTTATAGTGATCATCCAGATTCACTGCCAACTCAATTTTCAGCTTAAGGATGGAGAGAATCTAGTACACATGAATCACATTTGACTTCTTATTCTAGGTATTGGAGAATCGCAATTGCACTTCACACACCAAATCCGGCAAAACGTATGCGTCAAACCATTGCACCAGAGCCGTGGGTATAACGAAATCACAGTTGCGCGGATGAAAAGAATTCACCTGCTAGCCACTGAAATTCAAGTTCGTTGATTCAGGCTAACTTGTGAGTCTCGCCTCGCACGCTGAACCGCCAATCGCGGCTGCAACTCTTCCCCGTAGTATCCGTTTAGTTACTCAGTTTCTGCTCTAGCTATCATTCGCTTTGTGGAAGCGTGGGGGATTTTTGTTTTTACCTTATCTCGCGTTTAGGTTATATTCGGTAACTGGCGAACTCGCCGCTGCTCAGACATTCGCGTCCGTCAGCAGAGGGATTTGCTTTTCTGACCGCATCGATTGGCCCGCATCGATAGGACCCGTTCCGGTTCTAGGCCTCGCGTCACTTACTGCTCTCTCCTGCTGTCTCTCCTTCATCCTGTAGGGTCTATTCTTGTCGTGAACGGTTTTTCCTGCCTGCCTGAAAGCAGTCCAGGGTCTGCTCCATCAGGATTAGTTTTCGTAGTTTCGTTCTGCATGCCATACGGGTCGCGTTAACCCTAAATTGCTACAGTCGCGGCCAAAGTTTCCAAGTTACCCGCCGACAGGGCGTTCCGGGGTTTAAGCGGGTTCGTCTCTAACTGATCCGTTGTAGTGTATAGAGCAGATTCCGGCCATGGGAACCAAGCTGGAGGCGAAGCATCTGGTTTACTGCGGAGGTATGTCCTTCCTGGAAACTTCCTCAGAACGTATCAGCTTATCGCTGTTTTTCTTAGAACGAGGAATAATAGATCCAAACTTTAGTTGTTCCGCTTCCTCTCGCTTATACTGAATCTTTCTGCCGTTCCTTTGTTCGCATTCCCTTACCTTGTGCCGTTGCACTCATGTCTCGTGTCTTACCTCTCCTGCTCCCCCCACCTTCTCCCACGCTTCTTCCCTCCCCTCCACCCTTTCCCCCCACGAACCCCTCCCCTCCTCTCTTCCCCCCTTTCCCCCGCCCTCCCCACCTCGCCCGCCCTCTCTTCCCCCTCTCCCCTTTCCGCGCGCCTTCCGCGTGCGCGCGCGCGTGCATCAGTGTGCGGGCTGCCTCCGGAATTCTGCGAGTTCGGACCGGACTTTAACAAGTGCAAGCCGTGGCTGCTCGAGCACACGCCGCACCTCTACCCCGACCTAGCTGGTGACTCAGGGGGGGCGAGACGGGGGGAGAGAGGGGCGGGAGAGGGGAGGATAGAAGGGACGGGTGAGAGAGAGGGGGAGAGAAGGGGCGGGAGAGGGGGGGGAGAGAGGAGGGAGTGGGGCGGGAGCCGGGGGGAAGATGGTGGAGAGAGAGACTTCGAGCCAGACTAAAAAAATGCAAGCTGTGGCTGCTCGAGCACACGCCGCACCTCTCAGTTGTTAAAGTCACGGCTTGACTCGCGGGTGAGTCCACGAGGTCAGGGTATGGCACCTCTGTCCCTCCACCTGCTCCACATTTGCGTTCTTATGCACACTGCTTATTCCCTCCTTGCGCGCCCCCCTCACCTTAATTTCTCCAGCTGAGAAACTCAAGGAGTTGTCAACAGCCGAGGGAGGTGCCGGGGAAGCAGGAGCGGGAGCAGCTGCACCAGGTGAGTTCAACAGAGACAGGTGAGTTCAACAGAGCCAGGTGAGTTCAACAGAGCCAGGTGAATTCAAAACAGAGCCAGATGGGCACACAGAGCAGTGTTTATGCACATGGTTGTTTGTTACCTTCCCCTTATGATCCTCGCACATACTTGTTGCATGCATCCACTGAATCCGCATGATATGCTGGCCCGGCCGGGGTAGCATTGTGGGACCCGCACGAGTTCAAGAACGACTTTTGAGACGTCTCAAAAGTCGAGGTCAAGAACTGGTTTCCCTTCCACCCACTCTTTCCTCTTTCTTTTTATACGTCCTCTCTCGTTTCCCTTCCTCGCCCTCTCTCAATGCAACTGCAGCCAAGCCAGAGGAGCCTGTCAAGAAGCTGCCGGGAGGCCGGGTCAAGAAGCAGGTATCCACAGGGGGGCGTGCGGGCGGGCTTGGGCGTGTGGGCGTGTAAGCATGTGGGCATGGGCGTGTGGGCGTGGGCGTGTGGGCGTGGGCGTGGGTATGTGCGTGTGAGCTTTGGGACATGGCAAAAGCTGGCTGGGGGGCGGATTGAGAAGCAGGTGTGCTCACGGGGGTGTGCTTGGGGGTGTGCGTGGGTATGTGGGTGTGGGAATGTGTGTTTGGAGGTGTTTGAAGGTGTTTGAAGGCATGACGGTGCCCCATATGCTGCTTCCCACCACCTCCCGCATTTCTTTCTTCACGAATTATGAATTCTCACTAGTACAAAATTCTCACGAATAAGAATCTCTCACTGATAATAATCTCTTTCATTCTTGCTCATTTTCCCCGCCTCCCACATCTCTTTCCACCTCTCTCCACCCCTCGCTGTCTCTTTGCTCCTCCCGCTACCGCACGGCACCGCACGGCACGGCATGGCATGAGCAGGACAAGAAGGAGGTGGTGGTGGAGCGAATTGTGCGCAACAAGCGCAAGTCAGTCACAGTTATCAAAGGCCTCGAACACTTCGGTAACCTCTTAACCTCTTCCTTGTCCTCTCACTCTTCTCGCTCCATCCTCCTCCTTTCCATCCTCTTCTCGCCTCTTCCTCTCAATCCTCAGCCAATGTCCCCTCTCCCGTTCTCCATCTCTCGCCCTCACATGCCCTCCCTGTCCACCCCCCCCTCCCTGAGTTTTTATTTCTCCCACTCTTTCCCCACTGCCTCTCGCCCACCGTCCCACTTCACTCAATCGCCTCTCCCTCTTCCCCCCTCTTTTCTCTCTCTTTCTCACCTCCCCTTCTTCCCCCCTCCATCGCCCTCACTCCATGACCCCCCTCTCTCTCACTCCCTCGCCTTCCACTTTCTCCCTCCCCCCCCCCCCCACCATTCAGGAGTTAAACTGCCAGAAGCTGCCAAGAAGCTGGGAAAGAAGTTTGCCAGTGGTGCTTCTGTCGTCAAGGTGGGTTGGTTGCGGTGCGAGGAGGTGAAGCTGAATCAACTCTGAATCTAAACTCTTGTTGCCATTGGGGCCTCTTTTGTCAAGGTGAGTTGCGGTGCGAGGTGAACTTTTTTTCATTAAAAAAAAAAACCACTTTCGTTGTGGTGCAATTAACGTCAAGGTGGGTTGGTAGCGGTGCCACCGGGCGAGGGTAGAGTGAAGGTGCTTGGTCGTTCAGGGAAAAAGGGTTTTCTTTGGTCAACGTGAAAAACGTATTGTCGAGTTGATTTGCCAGTGCTGCTGAGATGTGTCAACAAATTTGTAGAGTTGCCTCACCTCGAAAGTTGGCTTGCAACTCAACCAGAGTTCTCCTGGAGGGGGGTAGGGGGAGGGGGAGATATTTGGTCATTTTGAGAATTTCTTTGTGCTAAAGGGTACGGATTAGGCGCCTTAAAGGTTGGCTTGAAATTCAGTGGCGGGTTCAAAAAAGGTTTGTATAAGCTTGCTACCAGCAGCTTTGGTGCTACCAGCAGCTTTGGTGCTACCAGCAGCTTTGGTGCTACCAGGAGCTTTGGTGCTACCAGGAGCTTTGGTGCTACCAGGAGCTTTGGTGCTACCAGCAGCTTTGGTGCTACCAGGAGCTTTGGTGCTACCAGCAGCTTTGGTGCTACCAGCAGCTTTGGTGCTACCAGCAGCTTTGGTGCTACCAGCAGCTTTGGTGCTACCAGCAGCTTTGGTGCTACCAGCAGCTTTGGTGCTACCAGCAGCTTTGGTGCTACCAGCAGCTTTGGTGCTACCAGCAGCTTTGGTGCTACCAGCAGCTTTGGTGCTACCAGGAGCTCTTTCCCATCATTGTCACCTTTATGTACCACTTTTCCTTCCTTCCCTTCCTTCCTTCCTGCCTTCCCTCCCTCCCTTACTCTCTCCCTCCCTCCCTCCCTCCCACCTGTGCAGGGACCAACGGAGAAGGAGCAGGTGGACGTGCAGGGGGACATTCTCCTTGATATAGTCGACTTCAACTGTCCCTTCCTTTCCTTCCTTTCCGTTCCTCCCTCCCTCCCTCCCTCCCTCCTACCCTGCAGGGACCAACGGAGAAGGAGCAGGTGGACGTGCAGGGGGACATTCTCCTTGATATAGTCGACTTCAACTGTCCCTTCCTTTCCTTCCTTTCCGTTCCTCCCTCCCTCCCTCCCTCTCTCCTACCCTGCAGGGACCAACGGAGAAGGAGCAGGTGGACGTGCAGGGGGACATTCTCCTTGATATAGTCGACTTCATTACAGCCACATGGCCCGACGTGAGGCTTCCCTTTCAAGCTTCTGCCATTCCATGCCTTGTTGTGTTGTGGTGACTTGTGTTGTCTTGTCCTTTCCAACCTGTTGTTCTCTCTTCCGACTCGAACAATAAGATGAAGAATTGCTGCTTGCTCACCCATATCCTGTCCCTGAACCCCTTGCGTTTTTTTTTTTTTGGTAGGTGAAATATGCACTATACACGTACAATGCAAAAACACCACGGTCGTAACCGGCTGAACCCCTTGCGTGTCGTGGTGCCTGTCTGTCTGTTGACTTCCTATTTCTCCCGATTGCTCCGTTTACCTCTCCATCTCTCCCTCTCCCTCTCCCTATACTTTCCCTCTGCTCGTCCCTCTAGTCATACAGGTACCTGAGGAGGCGATATTTTTCTTAGAGGACGGGAAGAAAGTACCTACATGCTAGCACTCCCATTGCCCTGCCTGTCTCTCACTCCCTCTCTCTTTCACCTTCCCTCCGCCTTCCCCCCCCCCTCCCCGCCACCCCCCACTTTCAGGTACCAGAGGAGGCAATCTCTTTCATCCAGGACAGGAAGAAAGTACATACATGCATGCTAGCATGCCCATTGCCCTGTCTGATGGCTTCCTCATTTCCCTGATCGCTCCATTTGCCACTCTATCTCTCCATCCCTCGCCGTCTCCCTACCCTTTCCCTCCCCGCTTCCTCCGCCTCATACAGGTACCTGAAGAGGCAATATTTTTTATAGAGGAAGGGAAGAAAGTACCGGCATGCTAGCAGCCTCACTCTGACACATTCCCTCCACCTTTCCCCCCCTTTCCTCCCACCCCCCCACCACACACTTTCAGGTACCTGAGGAGGCAATATATTTCATTGAGGATGGGAAGAAAGTACCGGCATGCTAGCATGCATGCCCGTTGCCCTGCCTGCCTTTCTCCTCGTGTGTTCCTTCCTTCCTACTGGATGTGTAACTGCAGTTACCATACGGGCTGAGATTCATTAGGATTACATGTAACGATGCTGTACAAAATCCACTGTAGCGGTACCTTCCTGATCCAGGTATATTTGGTTATTAGACAAACCAATGGGCTGGCTTGGATTGGATAGCTAGCAGAGCAGCGCAAACAACCCACTCCATAACCCTCCGCACTGCATGTACGCACCCTACCAATTTTTTGGTGCCATGCCATGCCATTCCAAAGCCCAATTGCTTGTGTCATATCATATGGTATCAGATTGCTGGAGGCAATTTGCTTCTAACTTCCAAGCTCATGCAGTAAGAGGTGAGCCGCTAGCTTTGTGTAATACCATAATTGCTTTGTATAAATACTAGACACATAATTAGACACAGGTACACATAATTAGAGCTACCGCATAAGATCTGCTAGCATGCAAAAGCTGATTTACGAGAAATCTACAGAATCAGCTTCACACCAACTACCGTATACTTCTCTTAGCAGGGTTTTTGAGACTTCTCAAAGAATCCCTGCAAAATCAGCTTCCCACCAACAACTACCGTACCGTACCGTACCGTACTACTACCGTATTACCCCGGACATACCACCCTAGGGTGCTATGATAACTACACAAAAAAAAGGGGGGGGGTCTTGTCATCGGAAAAAGCTACATTGCACCCGGGTCGTTACATAATGTATATTTGTTTTAGAGCACAAAAGGTTGAGAACAAATTGTACATGTTTGACGCGGTGGTAGATTGTTGGTTGGGTGCGCAAAATCGAGGACTGGGCGATAACGTTAGTCTCGTGGGTTAGCTGCCACATTGCAAGCTCCAACAAGGCCCACAGTCAGGCCCTGATTGGTACGGGGCTGGAGAAGATGGGGATGCAGATGAGTGGAGCGAGGCCGGCTCTGACTGGTGGCTCCCCGACCGCTTTGACGGAGAGGAGGTTGAGGAATGGAATGCTGGGGACGAGGAGTAGGAGGAAGGGCTTCTTCTGTGTAGGTAGATAGCATTCTGTCTGGATGGTAGTAGGCCCCATCTGAATGAAGGAAAGACTGTGTGATGGGAGTGATATCGCTGTATAGCGTCAGACGTAGCTTGTTTGTGCTGATGTTAACATGTAGATGGTTAATCATTGGAAACCCAGTGCTATTTAGGCAAAAACTGCAATATTACCCGTACATAACACCCCCCCCCCCGGGTGCTATACCGGATCGCCCCAAAAGGGGGGTATAGTAGAAATGAGGCCCGCTATAGCACCCCCCCCGCACAAGCCACCCGGGGGGTGCTCTATTTCGGCGGGTGGTATGTCCGGGGTAATACGGTACCTAGTACAAACCAATACGCGACAGCACGTGTCAGCAACTACTGGTTGCAGCGCGGCCATTACGGTACCTCACAAACCTTTCCTGTCCAGCTAGCCCCCCCACTGGTGTCTACATCACACATGGCAGGGTGCCATGCCAGCACTAGAGGAGGCACATAGCAGAATGCCTAGTTCCACACTGCTCACCCCAAACCCCTCATAGCAGCAGCATGGAGTAGAGGATATCAGCCCAGGTGTCAGGAACGCCCGGGTTGCACCAGTGGGAGCAGTCCGTGCTGGGCCCGCCCGTGTAGTTCTGCACAGCAGGTGGCCTCCCTGCCACCACCCCTCCTCGCTCTGCTCCATAGCACACCGCTCACAGCACCCGTCACAAACACCCCTCCCTGCCACAGCACACCCCTCATAGCAGCAGCATGGAGTAGAGGATATCAGCCCAGGTGTCAGGAATCCCCGGGTTGCACCAGTGGGAACAATCAGTGCTGGGCCCGCCTGTATAGTTCTGCAGGTGCCCGTCGGGCCGCATGAGCGACAGGTGCGTGATGTCCAGCATTCGGAACTGCACGTTGCTGCTGCTGCTGCTGCTGCTGCTGCTGCCGCTGCCGCTGCCGCTGCCGCTGCCGCTGCCGCTGCCGCTGCCGCTGCCGCTGCTGCCGCTGCTGCCGCTGCTGCCGCTGCTGCCGCTGCTGCTGCTGCTGCTGCTGCCTGCGGAGGGTGAATAGGGTGTGTCGGCGTCTGCTTCCTGTGGCTTGGATGTGCTCGTTTTGCCTGAAGGAGCTTTGGAAGAAGAGCCCTTGCTAGAAGAACCTTTGCTTCCAGAAGAAGAGATCTTGTTAGAAGAAGAGGAACTCTGACTGCTGCTGCTGCTGCTGCTGCTGCTGCTGCTGCTGCTGCTGCTGCTGCTGCTGCTGCCAGTCAGCAAGCTCCTGGCCTTGCTATGAACTGCAACCTCCTCCTCACCGTCTCCCCCCTCAACCCCCTTAGTCGTCCCCACCCTGACAAACGATCCAGTGCTCCTCCCCTTACCCATCCTGTTCTTACTCATCGTCCTGCCTCTCCTGCTGCTGCTCTTGCTGCTGCTTCTCCTGCCGCTGCTAATTCTGCTTTTGGTGCTCGCAGCAGCACCGGCAGTAGCAGCAGCAGCAGGGGGAGGCCTCCAAGTCACGCCCTCAAACACCTTCATCTGAACACCTACTGCTTCGGACGCATCACTATACTTATCCGCATTTGCCAGCTCAGCAGCAGTAAACGGCATTTTCTCGCCCTTGCAGTTGCGCCCCGAGTCCGGCCCGCCATAAGCCTCCTCGTCGTGGAATGGCGAGAAGGAGAGCATAACGGGGATGCCTTTGTAGCCCGAGCGGATTATGGTGTCGCGAACGGTCGCGTGCGCGATCTCCATGGCTTTATAGCCCGTGATGGCCGGCTGCTGCACGCCTTTGATGTAGTATTGGCGGAGGCTGGACGGTGCCTGGTGGACGGGTGGCGGGAGAGGGGGGGACAGAGAGAGAGAGGGAGGGGGAGTGTGCGTGAGGGCGTGAGCGAGCGGGTGAAAGGTAGAATGGGAGATGGAAAACGAAAAGAGGAGACGAGGGAGGAGAAGAGGGAGGAGACGAGAGAGATCGTCGGGGGAGAAGCGCACTCACGTTGACGAACCAGTGACCGGCGCTGAAGATAAAGACGTCCAGGTAATCCAGGATGTCACTCCATTTATCCCGGGGCGTATCCAGGTACACCTTCCACGCGCCCGAGCTCTTGGCTGCGCCCTGAGCAATAGAGAGGCAAGAGGGAAGGGAGAAGAGAGAAGAGGCGAAACGGGTGAGACAGATTGGAGATTTCTCAAAACGAATCGAAACAGAGGGAAGAAGGAAGAGAGAAACAGATGAGACAAGGAGGAGGGGAGGGCGGTGGAAGGGTTTGGAAGGCGAACGGAAGAGTTACGGTGGGAGATCAAAGGTGAGCTTTATGGCCGGAAGAGTTACGCTCTCTTGACAAGCACCGCTACTTACAATGGGCTCCGCGTCGACGAGATAGACGGACGAGATGCGCAGGAAGGTGAAGTTGAAGTGCCGACACGAGGTACCCCTTTACTGCTGCACGTACCCCCCACCTCCCTGCGCCTTCCTGTACCTAACCACACCTCGCCGCACCTTTCTGCACCGTTACTTACAATGGGCTCCGCGTCAACCAGGTAGACGGACGAGATGTGCAGGAAGGTGAAGTTGAACTGCGCCACGCGGTACCCCTTCACCGCTTCACGCACCCCGCACCTCCCTGCACCTCCCTGCACCTCCCTGCACCTTCCTGTACCTCACCGCACCCCCTTGCATCTCGACTTACAATGGGCTCCGCGTCGACGAGATAGACGGACGAAATGTACAGGAAGGTGAAGTTATACTGCGCCACGCGGTACCCCTTCACGTCCGTGCCGCCAAACTCGCCCGAGAAGTCAACCGTTGGCGCGTACGAGTTCAACGAGCAGCGAATGGCGTTACCAAAATTGGACGAAAACGAGTCGCCCGCTATCGCGAACACCTTGTTGCGGTACCGGGAGAGAAACGCCGCGGGGTCCAGGCTGGCGGAAGGGGAGGAAGGAACGCGGGGTATGGGAGAAGCGGAGGGGCCGGGGGGAAGCGGGGGACGAGAAGAGGAATTTCAGTTTTTTGAGAGGGAGGCGAACGGGGGCAGTGGGCGACGGGGAACGAAATACAAAATGGCTCAGTTCTCCCGGCTACCATTCCTGGCACGACTAGCACAATATTAGTGTACACCACATTCGTTACAGTCCCGCACTCGCTACAGTCCTTCTCACCGGTTAACGTCGCATCCGCGCGGCTGCCAGCGCCAGTTGAGGTACCCCGTGTCCCTCCGCCCGTTCTTCTGGCAGTTCTCGTTGGAGCGAATAAAGGGACACGTTCTACCCGAGTACAGGGCCTTGTTCGGCGATATCACCCACCTGAGACGACACACACACACACACACACACACACACACACACACACACACACACACACACACACACACACACACACACACACACACACACACACACACACACACACACACACACACACACACACACACACACACACACACACACACACACACACACACACACACACACACACACACACACACACACACACACACACACACACACAGAGGCAGAGGGAATTTTGAGGCGCCTAAAAAAACGTTCTGGCAGTTCTCGTTGAACGAATAAAGGGACAAGTTCTGCCCGAGTACAGGGCCTTGTTCGGGGATATCACCCACCTGAGACGACACACAGAGAGGGGCACGTGCGGGCAGCGATTGAGAGAGTGAGCATTGAGTTGACACGTCTGAAAGTTTGGTTCTCCTTATAATAACCTGTTCAATCCATCGAGACGTCGAGCGGTCAACTTGTCGAGTCGAGAGAGACCTAAATGACTGTACTCAGAGACCTAAGGGAGAAAAACAACAAGAAAAGGAAACAGTACTAAGAGAGTTCACCGCATTCAAACCGCACGCACCTTCCCTCCCCGAAGTCGCAGGTCGACTCGCCATCCACTCTTTGTGCGCCCGTTTTCCCCTTGGATTTGATTAGCTTGCCGCCGCCGCCGCTGCTGCTCTTTTTCGCTGCTGTCTTGCCATCCTTCACCTTGGTTGACTTAGTCTCCGTTCCCTGGTCCTTGCTCTTCGCGTCGCTGCTGGTCTTACTGCTGCTACCGCTGCTGCTGCCGCTCTTGCCACTGTTGCTGCTCTTGTCACTGCTGCTGCTCTTGCCACTGCTGCTGCTCTTGTCACTGCTGCTGCTCTTGCTACTACCCTTGCTGCTACTAGCACTCTTACTACTGCTCGCGTCGGCCGCCTTACTGCTCGTCTTACTGCCCGTCTGCTTGGCTTCACCCACCGTCGCGGCATCGTTCAATTCCGTGCTCAGCGTACCGCTGAGAGTGGCGTGCTTCCCTATCTTACCCGCCTTAACCTTCCTCCCACTGCCGTGTCTCTTGCTCCTCCTCCGACCAGCACCGCTCTTGCCCTCGCTCTTGCTTTCGGCCTTCCTCTCGGCCTTGCTTGCATCTGAAGATTGAATCGAGGGCTCGCCGGGATTGTTGCCACTGGACAAGCTCCTTATCGTCGCACCGCGATCGTCAGATCCTGCGCCGCCGCCGTTGCCGCCGTTGCAATCGTTGCCTTTGAGCATTTCGCCGGTAATAGTAGCAGAAAAATTAGAGTTATTTAGATTAGAACTTCTTGCAGATTGTGGTAGTCTATCGAGGCCCGACTCGGGCATGGAGTCTTGCGCGCGCGCTTGATGGCGCTCGTTCGATAGGAGAGCAAACCCCGCCGTGAGTAGCAGAAGCACGCGGAGCAGCGAGGAAAACCCCATAATTCCCGATGCGGAGACGTGTGGAGGGATGTAGAGGAGTTTAGAGAAATGTGGGCCTAGAACCGTGGAAGAATCCCTTCACCGCCGCCTAGGCCTGCAGCTCTGAAGCGTGGTTTTAAAGAATTGTTGCGCGAGCTCACGAGCCGTGAGCGCGCTCAAAGACTCCCTGCTGGCAAACCCTCGACGTTGGTAGAATGGCTAGCCGATAACACGGAGATACAAGGCTAACTAATAGATGTCAATGCGACAATGTAATATGCTGGCCTAAAATAAAGCTGACGAGTGTTTCGCACTGAACGTCGAAGATTGTTTTGGGTGCTGGGCATTCGAGCACAAAAGCAAGGTCTGGCTGGAATTGCTGCTGCCGAGTGAGACTTGGGCGGTCTGTTGGCTTTGCAGTTGAATTTGTCGGTTGAAGGCGATTCGGTAAATTCGATCTGACAAGATGCCACCACAAAACCCAGGAGGTGCTGGGGTGTGGATGGGCAGATTCGGCCGGGAAAAAGTTAACAGTGGGGGATTTTGAAAAGTGGGGCGGCGTAGAAATGGGCTTGAAGTGGGCATTTTTTATGGTGGGTGGTGGCTTGGAGAAAACAAGAATGCGGGAAACGAGAAAGGGCAGGATGCACAAAAATCGCAGACAAGGTTGCAGTCGATCGCGACTGCGGTCAAGATCCACTTCTGACGTCGCAAATTTGAATTTCACGGGGAGCTCACCCCGCCAGAACGGTCACCTCCTATCGGTTGCTAATGACCCCAAATGCTGCTGTCGCAAGGTGGGTAATGGAATGTGGGAAAAGTCGCCAGGTGATTTTGTTTAGTGGACGGCTGGCACCCAGCGAATGTAAATGAACTCAACTTAGATCTGCTTCAGCTTCAACTAGGTACATATCAACTACACTGGATTCATACATTTCACAACCTCGACATATCCCAGATCTAAATATCCCCCCCCCACCCACCCCACCCCACTTGCCATCTATTCCAGCTCCGCCCAGTCACTTATCGTAGACGGATGCTCACAATTCTTTTGTGCACCAAGCTATGCTTAGATTACAGCGTAAATGATTGCCAGGCAAACCGTGCTCATACAAACTTGACCATGCCTCGGCCCTGCACGCTCACTTTCTCCGCTCGCAGGTTCTTGTTCTTGCTCTGCCTCAGCTTCTGAAGCTTCTTGGTCACCTGTGCCACAGCGCACCACCAGCAGAGAGTCAATACCAGTGAGAACATCTCTCCCCTGCTAAAACCTCCCCTGCCCTGCCTCCCTGCCACCTACTGCGCTCCACTGCCCTCACGTGCCCTGCCCTGCCCTGCCCTGCCCCTCCCCTTCCACACTTCTGTCTCTGGCATCCTTATGCCCAAGCATCAAAATGTGTCAAACCCCCCCCCCCCCCCCCCCCCCCCCCCCCCCCCCCCCCCCCCCCCCCCCCCCCCCCCCCTCCCTCCCATTCCCAGTTCTACTCCACTCCCATTCCCACCCCATTTCCCAACCCAGGGCACTCACTCACGCTCTGGTGTCTGGCGTCCTTTCGGCCGCGGCGTGCCAGCTGGTCTCCTCGGTGACCTTGGACTGGCAGTGCCATGGCACTCGAAAATCCATGGCCATGGGCTGCCCTTCCTGAGGCGCCTCAACAACCGTCTCTGGTGTCTGGTGTACTCGTTCCCACCCCCCATTAAAACGCCTCAACGCACGCCCCTCTACTCCCATTCCCACCTCCCACCTCCCACCTCCGTTCCCACTCCTACCGCACACCACCCCACCCCACCACATTCCTCTCACAATCCCACTCACTCCCACTCCCACTCACACTCCAGGGCACTCACTCACGCCCTGATGTCTGGCGTCCTTCTGCCCACGCCGTGCCAGCATCTCCTTGGTGACCTTGGACTCGCAGTGCCATGGCACTCGGAACTCGGAACTCGGAACGCCACTGCCATGGGGTGCCCTGCCCCTCTTCACGCGCACGCGCGCACTCCATCCATTCCCACTCCCCCTTCCTCCCCACCCCCCTCAAGAACACTCACGCTCTGGTGTCTGGCGTCCTTCTGCCCACGCCGAGCCAGCATCTCCTCGGTGACCTTGGACTCGGGGCGCACTCTGAAGTCCATGGCCATGGGCTGTGGCACGCGCGTCATCACCCGCTTCTTCCCCGCCCCCTCCTCCGCCTCTCCCTTCGCCTCCCTGCATTACCAGGACGCAACAGGGCAAACGTAGAGTCGAGAAGGAGGAGTGGGGGAGTGAGCGAGAGAGAGGGCAAGGGCAAAGGAGTGAGTGTGCGAGTGAGGGAGGGAGGGAGGGAGGGAGGGAGGGAGGGAGGGAGGGAGGGAGGGAGGGAGGGAGGGAGGGAGGGAGGGAGGGAGGGAGGGAGGGAGGGAGGAAGGGAGGGACGGAGGGAAGGGAGAGAAGAGGGAGGGAGGATCGGGAGGATGAGGAGGGGAGGGAGGGGATGAGGAGGGAGTGGGAGGTGGCGAACCATGCGAACATTGGACTCAGCAGGCACGGCAAAGCGGCAAACCACCGGAACACAACCGGAACATCTGAAGCAGACCGAAAGGAGCCATGAACAGCTCCCATCCTAAATCCGAAACCCAACTCAACCCAAAGCTCACCCAACGCTGACCCAAAGCCCACCCAACGCTGACTCTCAAGTCGACCCGCCGTAACTCACCCGGCGTTGTCTAGATCTAGGTCGTCAGGCCGCGAGTGCGATGACTCATGTGCTGACGCATCTTCCCTGCACACCATAAGGAGAGAGGGAAGGGAGTTGGTCGGATTTGATTGAGTTGATGAAGTACACAAGCTCTTGAACTAGGTTGTCCAGCCGAGAGTGCGATGGCACATGAGCGGGTGGGGAGAGTTGCTTGTAGCCCATGTGCTTGTACAGTCAGTGTGCAAGCCACAATCAACTGAGTTGCCCAGTGCAGATCGCAACGCATCTTCTCGAGCGTTTCTCAGAAGACAAGACACATATCAGATAACGCATTTCATTCGGCAGCACGTATTGTCAAGAGTCACTGCTTCCCAGCGTACTAACCATGTCAGTGTGAAGGTGTGGCCATGTGGGCCTGCCATAGACCTCACTCAAGTTCACTCAAGTTTTGGGGCGCCTCAAAACACGTTCCATTCAGTGTCAGCCCTCGCAATCTATGTATGTATTGTCAAAAGACACTGCATCCTGTCGTACTAACCTCTGTGAAGGTGGAGGGCGTGTAGGGCGGTCATAGTCGTCTCTCAAGTCACGGTAATGTGTGCTCTTCTCAAATATGGGCCGTGACTGGGGGGAGGGGAGGAGGGGACGGAGGCGGATAGGCGGGGAGGATGGAGGGGAGAGAGAGAGGAGGGCAGAGGAGTCGCAAGAGAAACTCCTAGCTGACTACATAAGCCACAAGTGCTTTTCCCAGAGTCGATGGGACGTGACACGGAAGAAAGTGGGGGGGAGGGAGAAAAGGGTGGAGAAGAGAAGCAGGAAGCAGGGAGCAGACAAGAGCAAGGAGAGTTATATGTTGTGAAAAAAATGCGCGCTCTTGTCTCAACAAAAGCTCTCCCTCACCTCTCCCACATCCCCAACCACACACCACCCCTCTCAACCTCCCAAACCCAACCTCCCCCCTTTCACTCGTTCGAACATCTCCTCAATCCCTAAACAGCTCGTTTCATTCAATCCCGCATTTCTCTTCTTGCATTTCGTCCAACTCTCGTCGAGCTCAAACTCTCCTAGCTTTCTGGAGACCTCTACTCCCTACAGTTCGAGGGCGGAAGCTGCCTGGGAAAAAGTTTTTCCTGCCCGCCCAGCGTATTTTAGCGTATCAGGAGTACGCCAGCCATGGCGTATGGCGTATATACCCAGCATATAATACGCTAGTGTATTATACGTGATACGCGTATCTGCCAACGTAGCTTCACAGTGCTCCCTCCCTCCTCCCATAAGTGCAGAGGCAAGGCAACCCGTGACTTTTGAGTCGACTCACCACTCTCCATCCTCGTCACAGTGCTCCCTCCTCCCTCCTCCCAAAAGTGCAGAGGTAAGGCAACCCCACAACAATCACAACCTCCCCACCAACCCCCCTTTTCCTTCCCCCATTTCCCCCCCCTGTCCCCCTTTGCAAGGCAGCAACGCACCCACATGTCGACCAGGTCCCTCGCCAGCTTTCTGTTCTGCACCGTCTCTTCTGGGAGCTTGGACAGAAACATCACCACCTGGGAAAGGGGGTGAGAGGGGCGAGGGGAGGTAAGGAGTGGCGGAGAGAGGTGGGGAGAGATTTGGAGAAGCTTTTCAACGTCACATCGGTGAGCTTTCTGTTCTGCACCGTCTCTTCTGGGAGCTTGGACAGAAACATCACCACCTGCAAGGGTAGAGGCGGTGAGACGGGTGCGGGGAGGAAGAAACGGGAGGAGGGGGAAGTGCGAGGGGTGACAGGGGTTAAATGGATGAGGGCAGTGAGAGGGTTGAAAGGGTAAGGGGGATCATTAAACGAGGGGGAGCAAGATTTTGCAGCAAGGAGGGCGGTCAGAGTGGAAAGAGGGGGACGAAGCGGAACTAAGCTCTCTCACACTCATCTCTCACCCACCCCAACCTCCCCTTCTCCCTCACACTCACTGTTCCCAACCTCCCACTTCCCTCGCACTCACCCGGCCCAGCCCACTCTCCTTAAGCTGTCTCCTCCTTTCCGGACTACCTCCCACGTCGATTGGTAGCTGTGGACAGAGAGGGGGGGGGGGAGGGAGGGAGGGGGGCAACGATAGGGGAGGAGGCAGGGAACATGTCTCAAAAGGCCCAGCCCACTCTCCTTAAGCTGTCTCCTCCTTTCCGGACTACCTCCCACGTCGATTGGTAGCTGTGGACAGAGAGGGGGAGGGGGGGGCGAGAAGCACAGGGAGGGAGGGAGGGAGGGAGGGAGGGGGGGCAACCAGAGGGGAGGAGGCAGGGAACATTTTTTTGGCGTCTCAAAAGTCCCAACCCGCTCTCCTTGAGACTGTCTCCTCCGCTCAGGACTACCGCCCACGTCTATTGGTAGCTTTGAATGGCGGCAGGGCGGCAATGATGGGAAGGGGGGCAGCGCGGGGAGAGGCGAAGGTGAAAGAAGAGGAGGGGGAGGAAGAGGGGGAGGAGGAGGGGGAGGAGGAGGGGAGGAGGAGAGGAGGAGGGGAGGAGGAGGGGAGGAGGAGGGGAGGAGGAGGGGAGGAGGAGGAGGAGGAGGAGGAGGAGGAGGAGGAGGAGGAGGAGGAGGAGGAGGAGGAGGAGGAGGAGGAGGGGAGGAGGGGAGGAGGAGGAGGAAGAGGAGGAAGAGGAGGAGGAAGAGGAGGAAGAGGAGGAGGGGAGGAGGGGAGGAGGAGGAGGAGGAGGAGGAGGAGGAGGAGGAGGAGGAGGAGGGGAGGAGGAGGAGGAAGAGGAGGAGGAGGAAGAGGAGGAGGAGGAAGAGGAGGAGGAAGAGGAAGAGGAGGAGGAGGAGGAGGAGGAGGAGGAGGAGGAGGAGGAGGAGGAGGAGGAGGAGGAGGAGGGGGAGGAGGAGGAGGAGGAGGAGGAGGAGGAGGAGGAGGAGGAGGAGGAGGAGGAGGAGGAGGAGGAGGAGGAGGAGGAGGAGGAGGAGGAGGAGGAAGAGGAGGAGGAAGAGGAGGAGGAGGAAGAGGAGGAGGAGGAGGAGGAGGAGGAGGAGGAGGAGGAGGAGGAGGAGGAGGAGGAGGAAGAGGAGGAGGTGAACATAGAGATGGGGAGTGGGATACTAGAGTGGATAGACGAGGTACTCTGAGTGGATAGACAAAGGAACAGAGTGGACTTAGACGTACCCCCTCAGTCACCACTTCTTTCATCCTGCTCTCGTCAACCATTTCCTCTCTCTCCCCCTCCACACAATCATTCCCCTTGTTATACCCCTCCCTCCCCCCACCTTCCCCTACCTCACCCAATTTCCCCCCCTTTCCCCTACCACACCCCCTTTCCCCATTTCCCCTACCACGCCCCCTTCCCCCCCCATTTCCCCTACCATACCCCCTTCCCCCCCTTCCCCTACCACACCCCCTTCCCCCATTTCCCCTACCATAGCCCTTCCCCCTCCTCCACGCACCTCTTTCACGAGCTCCAGAATGCTGGTGCGGATCTTGATGTTCGGCAGAGACAGGTCCGGCAAGGGCTCGAGCCAGTTCTTGAGATACGAGAAAACCCCACGGTCTAGGAACTCGCGCTGTAGGTGCTTCCTGGGGGCGGTGGGAAGCGTGCCAAGAGGGAGAGAGAGAGAGGGGGGGGAGAGCGGGAGAGCGGGAGAGAGGGAGAGAGAGGGGAAAGAGTGGGCAGGTAGGGAGGGAGGGACGCAGGAGTGTGAGAAGGGTGAGAGCAAGCAAGCAAATGGCTGCAGCCAGTTCTAAGGGACAGGAGAAAACGCCGCTGTCCAGAATCCCACAACTTGCTCTCTACCCTCGGCCCATGGGCTGGGCAGAGAAGCCGCTCGCTCGTTCCCTCCTCCCCATCCCTCTGCCCCCCAAAACGACCCCAGAGAAGAGAACCCCCCAAATCCCCCCCAAAACCCTCCCACTGCTCACTTCCTGAGAGTGTTGAGCATCTCCGGCAGCATGCGCAGCTTGTTGATAGCGGGGCGGTGCTGGCGGTTGGCGGTGGCGTCGTCCTCCGCGGCCTTGAGCATCTTGGCGTGGAACTCCTCCACAAACAGCGCCTTCTCGCCGTCACTCATCTCGTTGCGCCGCTTCTTCCCGCCCTTGAACAGCCGCCCCACCTCGTCCTCCTCCTCCGCCTGCAAGGAAAGGGGAGAGTGTGATGCAGGACGGAAAGGGGAGAGTGTGATCGGAGTCGCTGTTGAGAATTCTCAAAAGCGTCTCGTTGCGCCGCTTCTTCCCGCCTTTGAACAGCCGCCCCACCTCGTCCTCCTTCTCCGCCTGCCCATTGAACAAGGGGGAAAAGAGGGGGCGGAGCGGGGAAGGGGGTGGGGAAAAGGGGAGAAGGATTAAGCGAATGAAACGTATTTGAACAGCCGCCCCACCTCGTCCTCCTCCTCCGCCTGTACATTGAAACCCCCAAAGGACAAGAAAGAAAAGAGGAGACTCCAAAGAAGGGTCGCCTCAGAAGAGGGGTTAACAAAATTCTGTTCCTGCAACAGCCTTTCAACTACTCCAAAGGGGGAGGCCTCGTCTTCCCACCTTCTCCCCCACACCTCCCGGCATCCCCCCTTCCACCCTTCCCTCCCAACCCAACTTCGCCCCCAAAAACGCTTCCTCCCCATCCCCCCAAATGCTGCTCAACCCTCCCAATTCCCCCCCAGTCCCACCTGCGGCGCGTGCGAGAGGCGCTGGTCGTCGTACTCGTCGTACCCCATGGCGTGCCTGTCGTCCGGGTGCACGCCCGCGTCATCGATGAACGCGTCGTCCTCGCCCGTGCGCGCGCCCTCCACGTCCTCCTGATGCCACGCGCGCGGGGGAAAAGCAGGGGGAGAGGAACGGGGAGGGAGAGGGGGGAGAGAGAGGGGGGAACGGAAAAAAGGGGGGTTGGTGGGAATCGGCTGGGGACTGGGGGATTTGGCGTGGAATCGGCGGGGAATTGGCGGGGAGTTGGCGGGGAGTTGGCGGGGAACTGTAGGCAAGGCGGAAACAGACGGAGAGGAACGGGGAAGCGAAAGGCTAGTTAACGGAGAGGAGAAGGAGCGGCGGAGAGGGAGGGGGTGGGGGGGTAGGAGGCCGCAACAGGAGTAGGAAGAGTGGGGGAGAGAGCGAAGAACGAAGGGAGCGCAAAAGAGGAAGGAAGGGGCAAAGAGACAAGGTGCTATGGCGTGAGGGAAAGAGGGACGAGGGGGAGGGGAGTAGTGACGGCACGGCATGGAAGCGCGAACCTATCAAAACGAAACTTCCCACACAAATTTCCCTCTCCTCAATCCTCCCCCCTCACCCACCTCGGAATTCGCCGGTCCTTGGTCCCACGTCTCTCTCCCGCCTTCCTCATACCCTCCCCCGCCTCCCCCGCCGCCCCACTCCTCCCCCCCTCGTGGCCGCTTAACCTTTGTCAGCCTCCCCCCCGATTTCCGCCCCTCCTTGCCCTTCTTCCGTTTCCCCCCTTTCCCCCTATCCCTCCGGTCCCACGGGTCCGCTCCCGCCACTCCTTCTCCGCCCTCGTCCTCTTCCCATCGCTCCTCCTCGTCCTCCCTCCCCCCGGCGCCGCCTTTTTTCACGAGGCGCCTGCCGCCGCGATCGTCGGGCTCCTCGTCTTCGAAGAGCCGCGCATCGTAGTACGCGTCGTCGTCGTTATCGTTACCGTTACCGGGATCGTTGTCGTTGCCTCCTCCGCCTCCTGCGTCCACAGCGCCTTGCGGGTCCGCCTCGCCATAGTCGTCAAAGTCCACTAAGTTTGGGTCGACGCGGCCGTCCTCGCCATGTTGGGGGCTGACGTGAAAAAACGAAACGGTTAGGAGATAAGAATCACACGGGAATTGAACATGTCAATCGGAAAAAGGGTGACAGGTTAAGGGTACAGACGAATCATTGAAGCAAAGGAACAAGACGGTGAGGAGGAAATGGGGAGAGGGGGTGGAGGTGGGGGGGGAGGGGGGAAGCCGGGGGTGACGAGAGAGCGGGAGAGGAACGGGGAGAGAAGGTTGACGCATCAACCTTGTGTCAGTTGGCAATAGATAAAGTTAAGGCTTTCTCACGTCAATTGAACACGAGTACGGCGAACGAAGCGAGCTTACAGTCGAAACAACAAAAGAACGCAGTCCTTTCAACAAAACCCAAATTACAAAACCAAGAACGGCAGGAGAGGCAAAAGGACATTAAAATTCACAAAGAGAACTTGTCGTGCAGCGCGATGCGCACGTACCTCGCCATGGGAGTTGACAGACCGAGTGTCGTTGGCTGAAGGTTGCGTGGCTCTAACTAACCCTAACTCAACTGGACCTTCTCGCAATTAGGGTTTGCAAAATGGAATGCTTCGAAATTGAATGATGAATGTGATGAAGGGACGGAGGGATGGGCTATGCATGGTGGAGGGTGTTTTGGGTATGGATGGATGTCGGATGGATGGATGGATGGATGGATGGATGGATGTTGAAGACTGATGGATGGTGATAAACAAAGTTCCTAGCCTCCATACAGGCTGTTTTCCCAAACCTGCTGTGAACGGTAAAAGGGAAGCGCATATTTGTAATATCCTTGTACCGTGTCCAATGTGATTGCTTCTGGCTTGGTATATTTGTTGCACGAACGACATGGAACTCCCAGCAATGTACGATGTACATTTACACCACAGTCCAGAAGTCACAGGGTATAAACAAGTCCTGCATCACCTAAAATCGGGCTCGCAATTAATTCAAAAGAAAAAGCGCGCGAATGGCAGTCGAACGCTGCCACGTAATGCTTCACATTAAATGCCAAATTTGTCCACCTCGAACGTCCTTCCTATGGACAAAAATCGCCATCACTTCAGCCTGATCGGCTGGCCGACCTGTGTGTCCAGCGCAGCAAACTTCGGGATGAGGTGAGTCGCACGTGGCACCAAACACTTTTCATCTGCGGCGAGGTTCCACCAACCACTGCCACGTATCCCAATCCTAGTGGCGGTTCAGCAGGAGCCTCGGGCGAACCGCCGCAGTCGCTTCACTTCCATTTTCTCTGTGGAAGTCAGCCAAAGATTGCCGCACCGCCCGCAGATTCGCCGTATGTGCGCTGGTTTACCCCGCTGGCACAATGCTGTCACTGCTTCGTTTGTCTGTTTTTCTCCGCCGTAGATCAGAGGTGTCTAGAACGGGGACGGACGGAAACGATGGTGTTCTGGGGAAAAAAAACGCTGTTTGCGGCTTGTCCGACCAGCTCCATGTGCTGATTTCTGAGAGATATTTTGGCGTTTCTCGTTAACTGTACATCCACAGATTGTTTCAGGTGTGTCTAGAAACCGTTCGGGGTTCGGTCAACGGAAAACCTTTTGAAAAGGCACCCCAATAGTGTACACTGAAATTCCCACGCTCATTGCAGGGGGAAGTTGAGCCCTCAGCAGATCTAGTCCTAAAACCCCACGATCTCTGTGCGCGCCCGCACATGCGGGAACTGTCAGTCAGCCAGTAGGTGGTGCTTTCGACCTCGTTTGCTCGCCGCGCCACGGAGGGACGGCTCTCTTTTTTTCCCACGGCCATTCCACGCATCAGGGCCACCTCGTGCGTGCGCTAGCACAACGGGTTCCACAACCAGTTTTCCTCGTGTGCATGACAGAGGTGCACGTTGTGCTCTTTTGTGTATGAAGAGGCAAAGTGTGTGCTGGAGTGAGGTCAGGTGGTAGTCAGCTCAACCAACCTACAACCACCGAGTGCTGCTAGCTTCTATATCATTCTCGTTGGCTCAGCTTTCTTTTCATCCCATAACCCACTGCTTGTGACCAGCGTTTTTGTTCCCATTTTACCCGTACAACCATCTTTCCTCCTTCCCATCCTGACTGACGTATCTCACTCACGCGTCTCCCCATCCTGACTTAACAATTCTAATCACTTCACCCTGCCGCATTTATAGTTAGAGACCGAACACCGCACTGCCTGTTAGCAAAGCTCCGCGCCGATTTCCATCCCCGCAGTGTCAACTCTCCCGCACTTCACGGCCCCATCGTCGCTCTCGGCTTACCGAGAAAAGAGCACCGAAAGTCCTTAGGCATCATCATTTCTCGCGGCATCAGTTCTCGCGGCTTAGTATTAGCAGCTCTTCACTCTTCAAATCTCGCCCGCACGAGCCCAACACGTCTCAGTCCTCCCATCCTCGCTCTCCGCGCTTCGAGTTCACTAACATCCGCCTCCGCCCATGGGTTCTGAAAACGGCCATAGCGGCCAATTCCGCGCGCCGCACCTTCCCCCTTCTTCCCTAAGCGCTTCGTCTAGTACGCCCTCTTCTATTTCTGCTGCTGCTGCTCCTCCTCCTGCTTCCACCGCCGCAAACTCCGCGACCGGCAGCAGCGGTGTCTGGGGGGCGGACATGCATCCGTCCGCGGGGGAGTTTCTCCCCCAGTCGTTCTCCTCCCATCACTCCGCGCTTCCGGTGGCGGCCTTCCCCGCGCCCCTCGCCGCGCGGATGTTCCCCGCGCAGTCCATCCACCGCCCTGACTTCACGCAATCAGACCGCTACTACCCCGCCGCCGCGAGCCGCTGGGGCGGCGGCGCGTTTGCGTCCGGCGACGATTACTACGACGGAATCGCGGAGGAGAACGAGGGCGAATGTGAGCACGCTATCCAGTGACCTTTCCGCTGCGTCTCGTCTCGTCGCGTCGGCCTCGTCGCGTCGCGCCTCGTTTGATCTCGTCTCGTCGCCTCGCATTGTTGATGTCCGTCAATCACCCAACCCGACATTTATCGTTGTCGTTGCGTGTCGCCACGTGTCGTTACGTGTCGTTACAGGGGCTGAAGACGCTCTAGACACGTACATCGAGGGCCTGGATAACCGCGACGGCGGCGCGCTCGGTCCCGGGTACTACTACGACGGGCCTGTCGGCGGTGGCGGTGCTGCTTGTAACGAGGACATGGAGCTTGAACCCCCTGCTGCGGCGACGTTCAACTGGACCCGTGAGTCTGAGTCCCGTAGGGACCTCCTGCCGCCGTCCGATTCCCGTCCGATTCGCGCTGCCACTGCTCGATTGGTGGTTCGTTGTTCAATTCCCCTTGTCGATTGTCCCCTTCTTTTCGACTTCCACGGTCTTTCAGCTCTTTCCCTTCGGTCTCTTGGTCCCTTCGACCGTTCGTTCCCAAGCCATGCCTCGTTTCTCTTCTCCGTCCCTCGATCCCGCGGTTTTCCCCTCCGGGGCAGAGATCGAGGAGTCGTGTTAGCGCATGGAGGAACAGCACATGCGCATCATGGAGGTCGACCTCACCTGCCCCCTTCAGTCGTGACCCCGCCCCCTGCCCTCTTGCTCTCCCGCTCCCTCCATCCAGGTGTCGCTTCGAGCTGTCCGTCCCTTCCTCCCTTCAGCCGTGCCCAATCTCTCCTCTTTCTTTCCCTCCATCTTTCTTGTCTCTCCACTCGAGCAGAGATCGAGGAGTCGTGTCAGCGCATGGAGGAGCAGCACATGCGCATCATGGAGGTCGACCTCACCTGCATCGGCGACGGCAACGGCGGCGAGCAGGTGCTCTACGAATTCACCTTCGAAGAAACCGACGACTACGCTCCTGCTACTGATTCAAGCGCTGATGGTACTGCTCCTGCCGACGGCGCTGCTCCTCCTGCTGCTCCTGCTGCTGGGAGCACAGCAGCAACAGGGGAGGAGGGGAAGCGCGTGGTTGGGGAGCAGCAGAGCGGGGGAGGAGACGAGCTGCCTTGGTACTTCGGACGCGAGGGCGAGAAGAGCGCCGGCGCTAGTAGCGGGAACAGCAGCGGCACCAGTGGCAACAGCAGCGGAAGCGCCAGCAAGAGCACCAGCAACAGCAACAGCAACAGCAGCAGGAGTGGCAGCGACGGTCTCAGCGCAGGGCAGCTTAGCATGGAAGGAGTGAGGGAGGCTGCTGATGCTGCAGGCGGCTCTGCCTCTGGTTCACCCAAGACTGTGCTGCCAGTGCCGCTGCCGCTGCCAGCGCCGAGCAGAGACTCTGTGTTTTCCGGCCACGGTCGCAGGGGTGGCAGTAAGAGCACTGGCGGTGGTGCTAGCAGCAGCACGATGCTGAGTGGCCTGTTCCGTAATATCAAGCGCCGCTGCTCTGCTGCTCTCTTCTCCCCGTCGTCGTCCTTCTCGTCCACCTCCTCCACCTCCTCAGTGGCAGCAGCAGCAGCTGCTGCTTCTGCTGGTGTGACACACGCTGCTGGCAGCAATGCTACCGCTGCACCTCATGCAACCAGCAGGTTGAGCAGTGAGGCCAAAACAGCTCAGGGCAGCATCAAGCAGAGAGTGTTTGGATCGGCTACAGGCAGGTGGAGGCGCAGCAGCAAGGGACCCAGGCTCCAGCGCTGCAACAGCCTCACGTAATGCCTCCAATCTGCAGTGTTTACGTCAGCTGGCTTCTCTCTCTCCCCTTCAGTTGCCCTGCGGAGCTCCTTCTCATGCTTTCACCACCACACCCAGCAGCATTTACCCTGCAAGTAATATGTTTTCCCAGGGCAACCTTCTTGGTGAAACCGTTCAAGGTGTAACGCCTTCCTCAACTGGCTTACGCTTGTTTCGCTGCTCCTTGCGCATGCGAGCCCTGATTTATTCAAGCTCTAGTGGAGCTTGAGGTCTGGAAGAAGATGCCTGAGCACCTCACCACTTTTCTGGTGCTGACAGCTGGCTGATCCTGTACTGCACTACCAGGGCCAGGCCATGGTGCCTGCATCAGGTTTTCAAGTCTTCCCTCTAAAATTGTGGCCAGCTTCAAGGGGTTGGCCTTTTTCCCCAAGCATGCAGACTGTTGTCCAGGGTAGAATTGTATTGGCTCTTTTCTTGCGCTGAATGCATGGTTGGGTTTATTGCTTCTAGCAGTTTTCTGAAAGTTAGTGATGATTCTACAAATTTGTGTACCGGATTGATTCTGGTGTATTTTTTTAACCATGCTGAGTGGGATTGGGTGTAGTTGTCAACATGAAGCTGTAGCAAAGTTTATGCTTCATTCAAACATCTGGTTGTCTAAAGGTGTGATTTGGCGGAACTATGAGCTAAGTCATTGGACCACCATAACGGGATACCTCAAACCATAAGATGCCACGAACCGTCGATGCAAAAACCGATTAACCGTCCGATTGTGAGACCCAGAAATGTGCAACCACCACGCTCCAGTGCTGTCTTGGCGCTTCGCATGATCATTTCGTGCCCTGGGCGCATGGAGCGGGAACTTCCCCTCTCCAAACATCACGGGTAAGTAGCTTTGGCGGGGGTACCACTAGCAACCCTGGGCTTTCCAGGGAACTACAGTGCTAGTTGCGGGCACTTTCCGCCCCTCTGACCCTCAGACAGGTAAGTTATGGCAACAGCACAGAACTCGGTCCCACATACACCCACGTGTCACAAATTCGAGAAAATTAGAGAACGCAGGGCAGAAAAAATAAAACCCATAGGGAACCTGGACTCATTTTCGGGAGGGATCAACCCTAAATACGGGAACCCACATTTTTTTAGGGTTGATGCCTCCCCGAGACGCATCCCTTTCTGATTGGGTTTGAGTTTTTTCGGTCAGGTTTTTCCAGTGGCTTGCGAATTTGTGACACGTGGGTGTATGTGAAGTCGAGTTCTGTGCTGCTGCAATAACTTACCTGTCGGAGGGACAGAGGGGCGGAAAGTGCTCGCAACTAGCACTGTAGTTCCCTGGAAAGCGCAGGGTCGCTAGTAGTACCCCCGCCAAAGCTACTTACCCAAACATCACTAGCGAGCCACGTTTTCGTTCTGAAGCCCCAACCAAACACCGTCGCCGCCACTCTCCCATCAAGCCACAAATCACGTCAATCGTGTTCGTCGTCCCCGGAGGACAGCTCTGGGCCGAACCAAGTACAGGCCCGTGAAAAGGGTTTTCCTGCCCTCAACTTGAACATCACCCCGCTCTTTTTCGGTAACCATAATTTTATTTAGCCTACAAACTGTCCAAACATCCTGTTCAAGTCAGTAACGTTCGGTCGACATATTTTGATACATGTGATAACCTCATTTTCTCGAGTCAATCAACCACATTCACCCTTGAAATTAGCCCGTTCCCTTGCTATCCCCTCAAACCTAGCTTCCCTGACCTTCGTCCGCCCGAACCTGCTATTAAAGCTCGTGCTTGAACTGTTTCTGTTTCAACCGTGCCTTGCTGGCTTTTTACCCGATCGTCTCCTTTTCGGATTGGCCTAGAGGAAAGCCCTTTCAGAGTTGTTCCTCCCTTGTGATCGGTTCTCTAGTGGGAAGCGCAAAAACCGGGAGAGGGGAGTGGAGGAGAGCAGAAAGGTGCATTTGATGCCTCTCACGTGCGTCTGCTCGTGCTTCCACCCATTTGCTTCCTCTGCTTGCATGTGCTGGCTGGTGGTGGGAGGATTTTCACGTTGACTTGAGCTGACCGGCCATGGGGGAAAGTGTCCGTTCCGAAACTAATCAACAGCGAATCTCCCAAGACAACCTTGCACGATTCGCGCTCCCGTGATTTTCGAGTTTGTTCACCTCGTCCGCTTCATTCATTCATTCACATGTTTTTTTCTAGAGAGTTAATATTCTGTACGTGACATTTTTCCGCGATTTGCTCATCGCCAACCGCTACTTCGCGGTGCAGGGAGAGGCGAGGAACCCAACCCGGCTCCTCTCGTCGCTGCTCACTCTTACTAGGTGCAGTTAGTAGTAGTTGGTGATTAGTAGGCATCAAGGTTTGTGCCGCCATTGAAGGCGTCGAACCCAGCATCGAACCGAGGCCTTTGTTCTCTACAATGGACACGACTTCTCCTTCGGGACGCGCCGAGTGGCTCCATGGCGTGGACGACGAAACCTTTTCGGTTCCGTCAGCCGCATTTGCCTCCACAAAACCCGCTGACGATGATTCTGGTTTTTCTACTTCAGCTAATAGCATCATCGACCCCGATATGGACACTCCGTTAACGGATCCCTTTTTAACGGATTCTCCTCCAGTAGTAGCGCGTGCTCTTCAAGATGAGAACGAGTCGCTCGTGTCGGTAGTCGAGCAGCAGCATCAGTCCATCGCAGCGCTGCGGCACCGCGCAACGACGGCGGAGCGCGAGAAGCGGTCCCTTAACGACGAGGTGGCGCTGCTGCGAGAGGCGCTCGCGGCGCGCGACGAGCAGATGGAGAGCTTGGCGGCGCGGGCGGAGGAGGCGGAGGAGGAGCGGGAGCTGGAAGAGCAGGACACGGCGGGAGACGCGGATATTGAGGACGAAGCGCAGGCGGCGGATGGTATTCCCACGCAGTTCGCGGTGAGGAATAGAACCGGCAACCGCGCGAAAGAGAGTGGCAGGATGGCGCTCCCCGCGGGAGCACGAACGCGGCGGAGAGAAGGGACTATTTGCGGCGGTGGCGGAGGTGACGGCGGTGTCGGCGGTGGGGAGGCGTGGAGAGAGGAGGACGGGGAGCAGAAGGAGGTTGTGTGCGGTTACGGGTACCACGGATGTGGGGAGGAGCGAGGGTTCTGTAGCCGGGATGGCGTTGCTTGTCGTGGCGTGAGGGAGAAGGCCTGCGGGACTCATTGCGGGAATCCTACTTGCTGGGAGCAGAGTGAAGAACAGAAACTCTGGTGTGAGGGTGAGAGTTGGGGGAAGCGCGTGGCGCGCCATGGTTCACGTGACTGGCATGATTGGCAGCGGTGGGACAATTGCAGCAGGGGCGGTCAGTGGGAGGCAGATGAGCTCACTTCACGGGAGGATCACTGCGGTAAACAGGTGCCACACTTTTCAAGCCAACTTTCGAACCAGGGTCTCCTGGCGAACCACCTTTTGCCGAGCCAGCGAGGGCATTGCCTGGCCCGCTCCAGCAGTAGCATCAGCAGCAGCACCTTCGCCAGCAGCAGCCGCTGCAGCAGAGGCAGGCAGGAGAGGCGAGAGACTCCAAGTCTAACCAGAACCTTCAGCCATGGCCCTTGGCACGATGCGCTGCATGGTTCTGAAAGCAGTATGACGCCCAGAGGAGGGAGTTACATGGCTTCACAACGGCTACATGCCCATGATGACTCCAGCCAGAACCACCAGTGTCACCAGGAATGTCAGCACCAGAATGAGCACCAGCAGCAGCGTCGGAGTCAGCACCAGCATCCGCACGAGCATCAGCCTCATTGTGACGGTACTGCTCTCCAACCTCACCACAGTGTTCGCCTCCATTGTACCTGCTCCCAGTGCCTCATCTGCCCTCCTCTCGCCCCGCCACCACTGTGCTCCGTATCCTCCATCTGCTCTCATGGCTCTCATGCCTCCCATGCCTCGCATGCTTCACATGCCACACATGGTTCACATGCCTCTGCTTTCAGCACGGCTCCCATCAGCCCTGTCTCTTCATGCACATGCTCTCAGTGCGCTGCTCCGTTCTGCAACACTCAGGGCTCAGCTGCTGCTGAAGGCTGTGCCGCTGTGGCCTCTACTGCCGGCTCTGTGCCATGCACTCCCGTGCACGTGAGGGAGAGGCTACGGCAGCAGCAGCAGCAGCAGCAGCAGCAGCAGCAGCAGCAGCAGCAGCAGCAGCAGCAGCAGCAGGAGGAACAGCACGGCCAGTTTCACCAGCAGCAGCGCCAGCTGCAGCACGAGCAGTCAGGGTTGCTGCGCTCTTCTCTTCTTGGTTCAGACTCAACGACCTATTATGCTGCCGTTTCCGCCACCGCTGCTGCTGCTGCTGCTGCTGGATCCAACGCCCACATAACTCCTACTGCTGGTGTTTTACCTGTCCCACGATCGTTGGGAGCAGGAGGAGGGGCAGGTGAGGAGGCATCAAGAGAATCGATTCAACGCGCTCTTTGTGTGCTACAACATGACACAACGGCCCTGCCTCCCTCCCTCTTATCTCAACCTAGCACCTCCTCTCTCCACTCAGCCTACTCCCTTCCCATTCCATTCCCTGCTGTCGCTGCTGCTACCCTCTCCTCCCCTGCTGCCAGTGCTGCTGTGACTACTGGTGGTTCTTTGGTTGTAAACCCTGCAGACCCTGCTGCTTCTGCTGCAACTGCTTCTGCTGCGGCAGCTGCTGCTTTATCTTCTGCTGGTGCTGCTGCTTCTGCTGTGGACCTACCAGTATCAGCCGTTTACTCAATGCTGCTACAGCACCAGCAGCTGCTGCAGCTGCTGCTCGTCAGAGACACTCTGTTAGCCACCAGCAATCCTGGCCCTGGCACCACCCTCCTCGCTCCCACTTCTGTCACACCTGTTACTCGGGGTGCGGAGGGTAACAGTGGGTGGGGAGGCAGTGGGGTAGTGGAAGAGAGTGTGCATGGTGCGGTGGTGGAAAGCTGGAGGAGGGAAGAAGGGGGAGGAAAGAGAGGGGGGTGTGGAAAGGGGAGGGATGGGAAACGCGAACAGAATCTGGTGGGCTGCGTGGGGAGTAGTACCAGCAGCAGTAGCATTGGTAGTGGAAGTGACATGGGCAGTGGCATGGGTACTGGCAGTGGCAGTGGCAGCAGCGACAATGGTGGGAGCAGGGATGGTAGTGAAGGTGCATGGTGGGAAGGAGGAGACCAGCATACCAACAGCTGCAGCAACAGCAGTGAGATGGATGGTGGGGTAGGGGAGTCTCAGCTGCTAGGAGGAAGTTCAAGCCTGAATGGAGCGGAAGTAATTGGTACGCCATGCGGTGGGACGGAGGAGAAGGTTGTGGAGGATTTGGAGGGGAAGGCAACAGGGCAGCTGAAGGGATTGGCGATAGGAAATATGGGAGGGTCTGTCGGCTGTTGTAACAGGGTTGGGGTTGTGTCTAAGGATAATGGGGTTCCTTCTGGAAGCCTGCAGTGCGTCATCTCTCCTCACTCCATTGTTGAGAAATTTCAGGTTGGGGGTGATTCAGCTCCTGCTGCTGCGGCCGCCGCTGCTGCTGCAGCATCAGTGGCAACCTCTGTGCCTGCTTCTGAGCCTAGTATTGCGGTTTCTGGGAATGCTTCACCTTCTCGAATCAGTGGAGTGCTGGGTTGTGGTGTGGGGGTGGGACGCTTAGACTTGCGTGGTGGAGGAAGTGAAGCGAGTGGTTTGGCTGGAAGGAGCAGCAGCCGCACGTGGGCTGTTCCTCTGTGTTTTGGTGCTGCTGGTGGGGTTGCTGCTGTGTTATGTCTTTGGTTAGCAACTGGAGTTGCAGGAAGGAAGGCATGGTGATTGAGAGCTGCCAATTGCAGTTATCCCATTGAGGTTGATGTAGCACTTACCATTCCATGCTGCTCAATCATTCTGAACTTGCTCCAAATGTTCTTATCATTCTTTTCCTGTACATTGTCCTCACATTTTGCACTCACATTCTGGGTGGTGTTATGTAATTTTCTTCTTCTGCTGATCTCCGCAACTGTTACAACTTCGTTCCTTTCGTTCGGTGAGTAGAAAATTTCCGATTCGGCATTTTATGGGTGCAGCAAACCATTCGCCCCGCGAAAGTTCTGGCGGCAAACTGCGGACTCAACCTGCTCAAACGGTTCCCCGCAACCCCACTGGCACACCGCCAAACGGAGCAGGCGCAGCTCAAAACCGAGACGCACTGGCAAAGTGGCGGGAGTGTAACACACCACGGCGCTGCGCAGACCATGGGGCAGGGGCTGTCTTTTCCCTGTCTCCTGCAGACAGAAGTGAAGCAAAACTATCAGTTTGAGGGAGACGGAAAAACAAAATGCATGAATTCTCAGACGTACAAATAAAAACTTTGTTTTCACGAACATGATAGGTCTTTTATGTTTGGGATTCTTGATAGTGTTCCCAGAGTGTGTGAAAATGTAACTCTCAGAAACTCCACACCCTGAGCAGATTTACTTGAACCTGACCGCAAACAAGCATATATTTGGCGGGGTAACGGCAAGGAAAGCCAGCAAAGTCCTGCAACCAGCGTCTCCGCGTCGGACTTCCCGCTTGCTTCAACAGTTGCGTTGCGCCAAACGATTAAAAGAGTAGCATCTCAGCTCCAGCGCCTTCCCCCCCCCCAACAATCCATAAAGCATCTCAGCAACGAATTTCCTATCACAGTTTTGTAGCAACCTCTCACAAGCAATCATTCACCTCTGGTCCCTAATCATTCTCGTCCATCCAAGTTCGCTGATCAGCACCATGTCGAGGGCTCTGCTTTTGGCCTTGGCGGCCATTGGTAAGTCTCTCAGGCCTCACTTTTCAAGGGCTAGATATACCGTTCTCGTGATTTCTTCACGTAGACTGTCATGAGCTCAATGTATGATTCAACCGGACAAGTTTCGTGTTTCAGGTTGCTGGGCAATCTGTGCGTCTGCGCAATGCGCCAGCCCAACCCAGTCGTGCGACTTCTACTTCTACGGCTACGACAAGGCTGTTCCTGTCTTCAAGCTCAAGTCCGTGCGTGATGAGAAGGTGGTCAGCACCGGCCTTCGCTGGAAGTAAGTTTATCCTTCCGGAGTCCTCCTCACAAGCAATTTCCCTTCCCCGGCGCGTTACAAGATGGGTCTAAATCTCATTCAAAGCTCTCGTTTGTGCTTGCAGGGGTCCGTCTCTCTTCGTAGAGACGGCTACTACTCTCGGAAACTCGACATGCAAAATTGCAGGCCAGGTGAGCTTGAGAGCCTCGCACTCGGATTCAGCGTTAGTTTCGTCTGATGTGGATTCTAACGCGCAAGTGACATTCTGCCTTTCCGTCTGCAGAAGAAGGTATTTTGCGACAACTACTTTTTCTTCCGTCCCCGTGGCGGCAAGAAGTCCTACGAGAAGTACATTAACCGCTCCGACCGTCTGGGCATCCGTCCCATTCCTAAGTGGAAGCTGAGGCAGTTCAGCAACCAGTGCATCCAGATGGGAGTCGACTCCGCTAAGATCAAGATCCTCAAGGCCAAGACCCAGAACGCGTCCGTGTGGATTAACCCCAACGACAACAACGCTCAGTTCCCCCAGGTTCGTAACACACATTCGACGTGTCGCAATCTGGTCCTTCGCTGAGCTCACGCTCTTCTCTTCCTTCACTTGCAGAATCGACGATGCGTGGCATTCAAGATCGTCACCGCCTAAGCAGCGCTTCTATTTATTGGCGAGAACGTGGCTTGTCGCACATTCATTGGGACTAACTAGGCTGGGAGAACATGATCGCTGTGACCATACGAGTCCAGTGGATCCTAGAGTAGACATAGGAGTTCATACATGGCGAAATACTCCACATTCTGTATTACCATAGTATCTAAAGGATTCCACACATACCGGTGTTACTACTCGGAACAGCCAGCGCGTAGAATGGGCGCACGATACCGTACAATTCTTGCTCGAAACTACGGATATCATTTCGTGTTGTACAACTACGGTAATTGCTAACTTATTGGGGCCAACTAGGAAGGGAGAACATGATGTCTACCATACTAGTTCATTGGATCCTATTCCCATCAATATCTGAAGGGTTCAACACATCTATCCATCCATGCTACTCAAAACAGGGTATTGAAAGGCCAGCCCCTTAGAATGGGCAGAGTTTTAGGAGTAGGACACAAGTGTGAGTGTTGTACTAGAGTCTGTGGATACCATTTCACTTTAGCTGAATAAATGCTACATGAGTGTAAGAAATAGATGGCAGTTGAGTGACAGTCTGTGTACACAAATGTAAGGTCACACCCAGCTAGTCCTCATTGTCCTCTTCCTCGTTAATTACACCCGGTTCTGAAGCAGAAAGGCTGGCACCCTGCACGGTACCCACACCAGGTGCAGCAGGTCCATGCCGCAGAATCCAGTGCTCCCCATCAGGCTCCACCCACATTCCTCTGAGCGTAGCGAACAGAGTAATAGCTCTCCGAACTCCGGAGTTGTCTGCCTTGCTGAAGTAGTCGTGTCCAAACATAACCCCTCCTGGCCTCAATAACCGGTACGCAAGATTGATATCGAGCCAGGCTGAGTGGAAGTCGTGGCCTGCGTCTACCTCCACCAGGTCTGCCTGGACGCCCCAGTCACACAGGGCTTTGAGCGAATGAGCAGTGGAAAACGGCAGTGGGAGGATCACCTTTTCCTGACCGGCTTCAACAACATTCTTCATGAAATACTGCAGCAACACAGCGTCTCCGTTGACGTGCTTGATTTGACGGAAGGAGTTGCGGAAGCCGGGCCAGCCGCGGAAGTCGTCGAGGCACAAAATTGTAATGGGATCGAGACCCAGCTCCTGAGCCTTGGAAGCCATGTTTATAGCAGAAGCGCCTAAGAATGAGCCAACTTCAATGACCAAGTGGGGTCGGACCTCCCGAATAAGCCTTTCAAAGACAGAATTGTTGGATCCCCAACCGCGGAGGCGCATGCGCTTTTTCAGAAGCGGACGGACGGCTTCAGATGGGAAATCCTCGAATGGGCTCACTCCGTCAAAGATCTCATCCAGCACAAGGGTCCGAACTGCCTCAGGACCGCGTCCTCCAACCCGGTTGGTGCTGCTGTTGGCACATGACCCTGGAAACTTAATGAGGTCAGTCGGTAAGATTCCGAGATTCTTGAAAGCAGCTTCAATGCCTTGGTATGTTCCAACCCGGCGACGAACGTTCTTATGAATGTAAGTTAACGAAGACGATGTAGAGGAGGGCGCAGATGAGGAGAGATCGAGATTCAGCTCGTTGGAACTGGAGGATTCGCGATCAGCGAATATGTAACGGCCAGCCAGAAGCATGACGAAGAGAAGACAGAGGCCAACCAGCACAGGTACAGCTGCGCGGTTGACCGGAGTATTGTGCTTGTGCATGGTGTTAGAGTGTAGTGCGAACACTGGATGGATGAGCTTGAGGCTGTTGAAAAAATACGAATGCAGCTGCTCGACGCCGAAAACTCGCCGCACGCTCTAGCAAATAGATAAATTCAGACGTCTAGCGCTTGAGAGAGAAAATATGTGCGTGAAGTAAGAAGCTGGGTCGATGAGAATCCCTTGTGCAGAAGAAAGGTTAGGAAGGTGGGATATCGATGGCAGATCTAGCAGTTGCTGAGTAGCAGACACTCCATCAAGGTGTAACTCTCCTTGAGCTTTGAATGGGAGAGAAAGGGTAGTCGTGACAATTTCTGAGCGGGAACAGACCGCGCCATACTGAAGGATGGACCTTGAAGAGAGTCGAGGCTGTGACAATAAAGAGGGAGTACCTCCAGCTTGGATTTGCTCGGTTTGATTTTCCGCCACTTGTACAAATGATCTCATTTTTCAATCGTAGGTGACTCAGTATATACAAGAACTCAATCGTACCAAAAATGGTGTGAAGCCTTTTGCTGTGAAAATGAAATCACATTCATATTTCCTCTTCAAATCTATAACTTTGAGATCTGAATGGAGGATCAAGAGAATGTATAAAAACAAGCTCCAAAGAGCAGTAGGAGGATACTAAGGAACTTAGTCATGCTGCCTAGTGCTTTCTACTTTTTTTTTTTGCTGAACACTAATGGTCAAAATTCGTTATGGGAGACTCCAGCAGAATGGCGTGCTGGGTTAGTGGAACGTCCAAAACTCTCCTTGAGCTTTGATTGGGAGAGAAAGGGTAGTCGTGACAATTTCTGAGCGGGAACAGACCGCGCCATACTGAAGGATGGACCTTGAAGAGAGTCGAGGCTGTAACAATAAAGAGGAAGGAGTACCTCCAGCTTGGATTTGCTCGGTTTGATTTTCCGCCACTTGTACAATTGATCTCATTTTTCAATCGTAGGTGACTCAGTATATACAAGAACTCAATCGTACCAAAAATGGTGTGAAGCCTTTTGCTGTGAAAATGAAATCACATTCATATTTCCTCTTCAAATCTATAACTTTGAGATCTGAATGGAGGATCAAGAGAATGTATAAAAACAAGCTCCAAAGAGCAGTAGGAGGATACTAAGGAACTTAGTCATGCTGCCTAGTGCTTTCTACTTTTTTTTTTTGCTGAACACTAATGGTCAAAATTCGTTATGGGAGACTCCAGCAGAATGGCGTGCTGGGTTAGTGGAACGTCCAAAACTCTCCTTGAGCTTTGATTGGGAGAGAAAGGGTAGTCGTGACAATTTCTGAGCGGGAACAGACCGCGCCATACTGAAGGATGGACCTTGAAGAGAGTCGAGGCTGTAACAATAAAGAGGAAGGAGTACCTCCAGCTTGGATTTGCTCGGTTTGATTTTCCGCCACTTGTACAATTGATCTCATTTTTCAATCGTAGGTGACTCAGTATATACAAGAACTCAATCGTACCAAAAATGGTGTGAAGCCTTTTGCTGTGAAAATGAAATCACATTCATATTTCCTCTTCAAATCTATAACTTTGAGATCTGAATGGAGGATCAAGAGAATGTATAAAAACAAGCTCCAAAGAGCAGTAGGAGGATACTAAGGAACTTAGTCATGCTGCCTAGTGCTTTCTACTTTTTTTTTTTGCTGAACACTAATGGTCAAAATTCGTTATGGGAGACTCCAGCAGAATGGCGTGCTGGGTTAGTGGAACGTCCAAAACTCTCCTTGAGCTTTGATTGGGAGAGAAAGGGTAGTCGTGACAATTTCTGAGCGGGAACAGACCGCGCCATACTGAAGGATGGACCTTGAAGAGAGTCGAGGCTGTGACAATAAAGAGGAAGGAGTACCTCCAGCTTGGATTTGCTCGGTTTGATTTTCCGCCACTTGTACAATTGATCTCATTTTTCAATCGTAGGTGACTCAGTATATACAAGAACTCAATCGTACCAAAAATGGTGTGAAGCCTTTTGCTGTGAAAATGAAATCACATTCATATTTCCTCTTCAAATCTATAACTTTGAGATCTGAATGGAGGATCAAGAGAATGTATAAAAACAAGCTCCAAAGAGCAGTAGGAGGATACTAAGGAACTTAGTCATGCTGCCTAGTGCTTTCTACTTTTTTTTTTGCTGAACACTAATGGTCAAAATTCGTTATGGGAGACTCCAGCAGAATGGCGTGCTGGGTTAGTGGACCGTCCAAAACCTTCATATCACGCATAACCCGTTCACGCCAGCGGGAGGGCAGCAGGAGGTGCCGGCGAGAGGGCAGCAGGAGGTGACGGCGAGAGGGCAGCAGGAGGTGCCGGCGAGAGGGCAGCAGGAGCTGCCGGCTGAGGGGCAGCAAGTGGTAGAAGTGGAGATGGCCGAGCTACAGCCAGAGGTGCAGCAGGACCAATCGGGGAACCGGGCCCGGCCACACGCAGGAGGGCAGCAGGAGCCGCCCGGGGGAGAGCAGCATGAGCTGCCAAAGGAAGGGCAGCACGAGCTGCCAAAGGAAGGGCAGCACGAGCTGCCGGCAAGGGAGCAGCAAGCAAGGGAGCAGCAAGCGGTAGAAGTGGAGATGGCCGAGCTACAGCCAGAGGCACAGCAGGACCAATCGGGAAACCAGGCCTGGCCACAGGCAGGAGGGCAGCAGGGGCCGCCCGGGGGAGAGCAGCATGAACTGCCAAGGGAAGAGCAGCAGAAGCCGCCGGGGGTGGGGCAGCTGCCGGAGCGGGAGCAGCAAGCGGTGGATGTGGAGATGGCCGAGCTACTGCCAGAGCTGCAGCAGGACCAATCAGGGAACCAGGCCCGGCTGCAGGCAGGAGGGCAGCAGGAGATGCTGGGGGAAGAGCGGCAGGAGCTGCCAACAGGAGGGCAGCTGGAGCTGTTGGGGGGAGGGCAGCAGGAGCGGTCGGAGGGGGAGCGGCGGGAGTTGCCGGCGCGGGGGCAGCTGGAGGTCGCTAGTGCGGACTCTACTAGCCAAGCGAAGAGAACCCGGGCACGGGGCCGAGGCGGGAGACGACACGCCCGTAAGACGCAAGGGCGGACTGGAAGCGGTGCTGCCGCACAGCAGGCGGAGGGGCAGCCGGGGGCGACCGAGACACCCCCGGGAGCCCCGCGGGTGGGGGGGCAGCCCCGGGTGCCTGGGGCGCCCCAAGGAGAGCAGCAGCCAGGGGGGCAGCCGGGGGTGACCGGAGCACCCCAGGGAGAGCAACAGGCAGGAGGGCAGCCGAGGGTGCCCCGGGCACCCCAGGGAGTGCAGCACGCAGGGGGGCAGCCGAGGGTGCCCAGGGCACCCCAGGGAATGCAGCAGGCAGGAGGGCAGCAGGGGGTGCCCGGGGCACCCCAGGGAGTGCAGCAGGCAGGAGGGCAGCCGAGGGTGCCCGGAGCACCCCAGGGAGTGCAACAGGCAGGGGGGCAGCCGGGGGTGCCCGGGGCACCCCAGGGAGTGCAGCAGGCAGGAGGGCAGCCGAGGGTGCCCGGAGCACCCCAGGGAGTGCAACAGGCAGGGGGGCAACCGGGGGTGCCCGGGGCACCCCAGGGAGTGCAGCAGGCAGGAGGGCAGCCGAGGGTGCCCGGGGCACCCCAGGGAGTGCAGCAGGCTGGAGGGCAGCCGAGGGTGCCCGGAGCACCCCAGGGAGCGCAGCAGGCAGGGGGGCAGCCGGGGGTGCCCGGGGCACCCCAGGGAGTGCAGCAGGCAGGTGGGGAGACGGGGGTGCCCGGAACACCCCAGGGAGTGCAGCAGGCAGGAGGGCAGCCGAGGGTGCCCGGGGCACCCCAGGGAGTGCAGCAGGCAGGAGGGCAACCGAGGGTGCCCGGGGCACCCCAGGGAGTGCAGCAGGCAGGGGGGCAGCCGGGGGTGCCCGGAGCACCCCAGGGAGTGCAGCAGGCAGGAGGGCAGCCGAGGGTGCCCGGAGCACCCCATGGAGTGCAGCAGGCAGGAGGGCAGCCGAGGGTGCCCGGGGCACCCCATGGAGTGCAGCAGGCAGGAGGGCAGCCGAGGGTGCCCGGGGCACCCCAGGGAGTGCAGCAGGCAGGTGGGGAGCCGGGGGTGCCCGGAGCACCCCAGGGAATGCAGCAGGCAGAAGGGCAGCCGAGGGTGCCCGGGGCACCCCAGGGAGTGCAGCAGGCAGGAGGGCAGCCCTGGGTGCCCGGGGCGCCCCAAGGAGAGCAGCAGCCAGTGGGGCAGCCGGGGGTGACCGGAGCACCCCAGGGAGAGCAACAGGCAGGAGGGCAGCCGAGGGTGCCCCGGGCACCCCAGGGAGTGCAGCAGGCAGGGGGGCAGCCGAGGGTGCCCAGGGCACCCCAGGGAGTGCAGCAGGCAGGAGGGCAGCAGGGGGTGCCCGGGGCACCCCAGGGAGTGCAGCAGGCAGGAGGGCAGCCGAGGGTGCCTGGAGCACCCCAGGGAGTGCAGCAGGCAGGAGGGCAGCCGAGGGTGCCCGGGGCACCCCGGGGAGTGCAGCAGGCAGGAGGGCTGCCGAGGGTGCCCGGGGCACCCCAGGGAGTGCAGCAGGCAGGTGGGGAGACGGGGGTGCCCGGAACACCCCAGGGAGTGCAGCAGGCAGGAGGGCAGCCGAGGGTGCCCGGGGCACCCCAGGGAGTGCAGCAGGCAGGAGGGCAGCCGAGGATGCCTGGGGCACCCCAGGGAGTGCAGCAGGCAGGTGGGGAGCCGGGGGTGCCCGGAGCACCCCAGGGAGTGCAGCAGGCAGGAGGGCAGCCGAGGGTGCCCGGGGCACCCCAGGGAGTGCAACAGGCAGGGGGGAAGCCGGGGGTGCCCGGGGCACCCCAGGGAGTGCAGCAGGCAGGAGGGCTGCCGAGGGTGCCCGGGGCACCCCAGGGAGTGCAGCAGGCAGGTGGGGAGACGGGGGTGCCCGGAACCCCAGGGAGTGCAGCAGGCAGGAGGGCAGCCGAGGGTGCCCGGGGCACCCCAGGGAGTGCAGCAGGCAGGAGGGCAACCGTGGGTGCCCGGGGCACCCCAGGGAGTGCAGCAGGCAGGGGGGCAGCCGGGGGTGCCCG